ATGGCCCAGTTTACTTAGACTCCCTGGTCCCCTGTTTCCCACTCGACAAAATGGGAAGAGTTAATGGAGTGCTGTAAGGGGGAAAGATCTGGCCTTGAGGAGGCATTCAGTGAAATGAGAGTTCCTGTCTTTTCTTGCCCAAATCTCCCCGCTAAGCCACAGTCAAATCAGTTAGGACCTCTGACCTCTTGCTGGAGTTGCTCCTGGGAGGTAGGCACTGAGTCCAGGCCCTCCGCCTTATGTCTTCTCCTCTCCGCCAGGTCCTGGGGAGTCAGAGAAGGTGCAGCAGCTGGAGGAGCAGGTCCAGAGCCTGACTAAGGAGCTGCAGGGCCTCCGAGGTGTCCTGCAGGGGCTGAGCGGGCGCCTGGTGGAGGACGTCCAGAAGGCCGTGGAGACGGCCTTTAACGGCAGGCAGCAGCCGGCAGACGCAGCTGCCCGCCCCGGTGTGCACGAAACCCTCAGCGAGATCCAGCAGCAGCTGCAGCACCTGGACAAGCGTGTCTCCACCCACGACCAGGAGCTGGGCCGGCTCAACAGCCATCACGGTGGAGGTGGTGGAGGTGGTGGCAGAGCCCTGACCCCCGCCCCACCCGCTCCCGGCCCCAGCGAGGAGCAGCTGCGGGAGCTGGAGCGGCGGCTGCAGGAGTCCTGCTCCGTGTGCCTGGCCGGGCTCGATGGCTTCCGCCGGCAGCAGCAGGAGGACCGGGAGCGGCTGCGAAGGCTGGAGAAGCTGCTGGAGGAGCGGCAGCGGCAGCTGGCCGGGCAGGGCCGCAGGCCCCCGCAGGAATGCTGCCCGCCCGAGCTGGGCCGGCGGCTGGCGGAGCTGGAGCGGAGGCTGGAGGTCGTGGCCGGTTCGGTGACCGTGCTGAGCGGGCGGAGGGGCGCCGAGCTGGGCGGCGCCGCCGGGCAGGGGGGCCACCCCCCAGGCTACACCAGCCTCGCATCCCGCCTCTCCCGCCTGGAAGACCGGTTCAACTCCACCCTGGGTCCCTCGCAGGAGCAGGAGGAGGGCCGGCCCGGACGTCCCGGGGGACTGAGCCACTGGCTGCCTGCTGCCCGGGGCCGGATAGAGCGGCTGGAGGGGCTGCTGGCCAACGTGAGCAAGGAGGTGGGCGGGCGGCTGGACCTGCTGGAGGAGCAGGTGGCAGGGGCCGTGCAGGCGTGTGGGCAGCTCTGCTCTGGGGCCCTGGGGGAGAAGGACTCCCAGGTCAGCGAGACCCTCAGTGCCTTGGAGCGCCGGGTGCTGGACGGCGAGGGGCAGCTGCGGCTGGTCATCTCCGGCCTGCACAAGGTGGGAGCGGCCGGGGAGGCGCGGCAGGCCACGCTGGACGGGTTGCAAGGGGTCGTGGGCCAGCTCCAGGGTCGCGTGGACACTCAGGATGAGACAGCGGCGGAGCTTACCCTCCAGCTGAACCTCACGGCCGCGCGGCTGGGCCAGCTGGAGGGCCTGCTGCAGGCCCGCGGGGACGAGGGCTGTGGGGCCTGCGGTGGGGTCCAGGAGGAGCTGGGCCGCCTCCGGGATGGCGTGGAGCGCTGCTCCTGCCCCCTGCTGCCCCCGCGGGGCCCGGGGGCCGGCCCGGGGGGCGGGGGGCCGAGCCGTGGGCCTCTGGATGGCTTCAGCGTGTTTGGGGGCAGCTCGGGCTCAGCCCTGCAGGCCCTGCAGGGAGAGCTTTCCGAAGTCATCCTCACCGTCAGCTCCTTCAACGACTCCCTGCACGAGCTCCAGGCCACGGTGGAGGGCCAGGGTGCCGACCTGGCCGACCTGGGGGCCACCAAGGACCGCATCATCTCCGAGATCAACAGGCTGCAGCAGGAGGCCACGGAGCACGCCATGGAGAGCGAGGAGCGCTTCCGAGGCCTGGAGGAGGGGCAGGCGCAGGCCGGCCAGTGCCCCAGCCTCGAGGGGCGGCTGGGCCGGCTGGAGGGCGTCTGTGAGCGGCTGGACACGGTGGCCGGGGGGCTGCAGGGCCTACGCGAGGGCCTTTCCAGGCATGTGGCGGGGCTCTGGGCCGGGCTGCGGGAGACCAACAGCACCAGCCAGACCCAGGCCGCCCTGCTGGAGAAGCTGCTGGGGGGCCAGGCGGGCCTGGGCAGGCGGCTCGGGGCCCTGAACAGCTCGCTGCTGCTCCTGGAGGACCGGCTCCACCAGCTCGGCCTGAGGGACCTCACCGGTGAGGGGGCCAGAGGAGGGTGGGAGGGACCCCTTTCCAGCGCTTTCTCCCTCCCTCCCAACAGCCCAGCCTTAACCCCCTCTACGTGTTCTGTGCTCTGCTTAGCAGCATGAATTGCAGACCCACCCCTGTCCCAGGGGCTGATTTATCCACAAACGATGATCCCAGGCCCCCACTCCCGCCTCCCCCTGGCGGCTCAGACGGGGCAGTGGCTGTGGGCGGGGGCGGGGTGCTGCTCTGCCAGCCAGGCATCCGGCATGGGCAGCGAGGGGCCCCATCACCCTGTCCGTGGAACCATCACCGCTTTGTCTTTTGGAAATGCCTTTTGTGGCTCTCCCACAACGGGCTTCTGTCGCTGCAGGGCCTGCGGGCGAAGCTGGGCCCCCAGGGCCTCCGGGAGCACAGGGCCCCCCGGGCCCCGCCGGGCCTCCAGGACCTCCGGGCAAGGATGGACTAGAGGGGCCCAGCGGGCCGCCAGGTATGTGGGCTGAGACCCTTGGGCAGCAGGGTCGCCACCCCCCTGGGCAGCCCCAGGCTTGCCGTGCCCCTTTGAGCTGGACGGGGAGTGGGGAGAGGGCGGAGGAATGGGGTCCCGGATGGCTGACGGTGACGGGGAAGTGACCAGGACCTGGGATAGACCCTGTGCTGGCTGACGGGGTGTGGTGGCTCCCTGCTGAGCTGCAGACGGGGCTGAGCCTCCCAGGGCTGAGGTGGGTGTGAAAGGCCAAGGGCTTAGACAGCGCGGACCCATTCCCCCATCCCTGCTTGGAAGTCTGTATGGCACCCAGCACAGCCGGACAGACTCAGCAGAAGACTTAGAGCCTTTCTCTCCCTCTCCCTTTCTCTCCCCCTTTCTCCCCCCTCCCTCCTCCTCTCACAGGTCCCCAAGGTGAACAAGGTAAGTTCTCCTTTGAGGCTGGAGGGAGGGGAACTGAACTAGGGGTTGGAGGATTGGGGGTAAAGGCTCCAGAGGGGAAGGAACTGGCCATCTCCTCTGACACCCAACCCCCCCCCCCCTCAGGAGAGGAGGGGGCTCCAGCAGCCCCTGTGCCCCGGGTGGCCTTTTCAGCCGCCCTGAGCTTGCCCAGGTCTGAGCCAGGCACAGTGCCCTTCGACAGAGTCCTGGTCAACGATGGGGACTTCTATGACCCAGTAACCGGTAAGCGGGGTCGGGGGCCGGCTGGGCCGGGGGAGGAGCGGGGAGGGGGTTGTGCAGTGGAGAGGGAGAGCTTAGGCAGTGGTACCCTCATCCCCCCCCCCCCTTTAGACAAGGGGGATCTCTCCCTGCTCCTGTCGGGGAGGGTCCTAGTCTTCCCTTCATCTGTCGGTTCTCACCACAGCTTGGGCTGGCTGCTGGGGTGCGAGGGGAGGAGTCATTAGCTCCACAGCTTTATGGGGAGGGGGGCAGCTCATGCCCAGGCTCTGTTTTGAGTGCTGGGGGTGCGGTAATGAGCAAAACACCAGCTCTGCCCTGGAGCTTGTGGGGAGGGGGGAGCGGTGAAAAGACCCAGCAGGCCCCTCCCGAGCCCAGGAGCTCTGAGTCCGAAGCCTGGGGGCCCCGGCCCCCTGCCCCCTCCTGACTGGCTGCCACCTTGCCCGCAGGCGTGTTCACGGCGCCGCTGGCCGGGCGCTACTTGCTGAGCGCCGTGCTGACCGGGCACCGGCACGAGAAGGTGGAGGCCGTCCTGTCCCGCTCCAACCAGGGCGTGGCGCGCATCGACTCGGGCGGCTACGAGCCCGAGGGCCTGGAGAACAAGCCGGTGGCCGAGAGCCAGCCCAGCCCCGGCGCCCTGGGCGTCTTCAGCCTCATCCTGCCGCTGCAGGCGGGCGACACGGTCTGCATCGACCTGGTCATGGGGCAGCTGGCGCACTCGGAGGAGCCGCTCACCATGTTCAGCGGAGCTCTGCTCTACGGGGACCTGGACCTGGACCCGGACCTGGACCTGGGGCAGGCGTAGGCAGGGGGCCCGACCGACCGACCAACCGGCCGACCGGCCTGAAGAGTCTGTGCCGCCAAAGAGCCATGGGGGGCGGGTTGGGGGGGGCACTCCAGCCCCGGGTGCATCGCAGCCTCCAGACCCAACGCGGCAGAGGTGCCCTGAGCATCCTCCTCCCTGCAAGCGGAGCGCGTCAGGTGGGGGCTCCGGGGTCCCCTCGTGCAGACGTTGAGCCCCATCGCTGTCCCCCGCAGGCCCCGGACTGCGGAGGAGCGGGTCCTGGGCCCTAGAAGCTCCCCCAGCGGCTTCTAGGCCGAGTCCCCGGGTGCCAGGGCGCTGCTGAGGCGCTCCGCCAATCACCGCCATACTAAACTATTCAGGAATAAAGACATTTGGTTTTTATAAAAAATAGAACAAAACAAACAAACAAAACACACCGTCTGCTTCAGTCTGTTCGGGGGTGGATGGGAGCACACGATGGACGCGTGGGCGGTGGCCGCGCCTGCGGCTCAGCGCCCCATCAGGACCCTCTTCCCGGCCTCGCCCGTCCCGCCGGTGTCCGCCAGGGGGCGCTGAGCGCAGCTCCGTCACGTGACCGGCGCCGCGCACCTGGCGGCCTCCGGGCGGAGGCGGGGCTCCGGCTTAGCTTAGCGGGACCCCGGGCCGCAGCGGCAGTGGCTGGTGCGGGAGCGGGCGGGGCGGGGCAGGGCCCCTGTTCCTGAGCTTGCCTGCCTAACGGTGCGTTAGAGAGGTTAGCACCAGCCCGAGTCCGGCTGCAAATGGAGGAAGTGAGGCCGAGACGTGGGAGTCGTTGCCACTTGCAGGGCCTCGCAGGCTGCTAAGGCGAGGCCGGGGACCCCGACCTCAGAGTCTGCGCTCCCGGGACCGCTGGGGCCGGTGGGCGTGGGGAGCAGGGGCCCCAGGCGCTCTTTGCAGGACGCTGCTCGCCCGCCGCCGCGGGAGGCTCCTGGAGGCGGAGGCGGAGCCGGCCGCGGGGAGGAGGAGCCCGGGCCGCCTCGGGGAGCGGGGACACGATCCTGCGCTTAAAACCCCGAGCCAGGGACGAAGCCCGGCACCCCGGCGGGCGGCGAGCTGCGGGAGCGGCCTCATGGGCGAGAAGCGGATCCTGTGCGTGGGGCTGGTGGTGCTGGACATCATCAACGTGGTGGACAAGTACCCGGAGGAGGACACGGACACCAGGTAGCGGCGCTCGGGCCCCTCTCAGGCCCCCGGGGGCGCCGGAGGCCAGGGCTGCGGGGCTGGGGCTGTGCGAGTCCAGCCTCCGGAGCGGTGCTCCGCGCCCCCTGTCCGGGGAAGAACCGAGCCCCTTAGTGACAAGACGCTGGCTTCAGAGAGCAGTGTGCTCCCCAGCTCCCAGGTCAACCCTGGGCTGACAGGCGTGGTTACCCATTTCACCCGCAAGCAAGTAGAGACTGGAAGTGATTTGTCCAAGGGCACGCAGCTGGTCAGTATTTATTATTATTATTACTACTATTATTTTAACAACAATATCTGCATCCTTGCCTCTCACTGGCATTTACTTTTCTCTCTCTCTCTCTCTCTCTCTCTCTCTCTCTCTCTCTCTCTCTCTCTCTTTTTGCACAGAGTATCATTTACTTATTTAAAATTTTTTTTATTAAGGTATTACATGTGTCATTACCTCCCATTGCCCCCCCACCAGCATTTACTTCTAATTTATTTACCACATATAAATCTCATCTATTTCTTATTTAAAAAATATATATTTTTACTGATTTTTTTTTTTTCAGAGAGGAAGGGAGAGGGATAGAGAGCTAGAAACATCGATCAGCTGCCTCCTGCACACCCCCCACTGGGGATGTGTCCGCAACCAAGGTACATGCCCTTGACCGGAATTGAACCTGGGACCTTTCAGTCCGTAGACTGAAGCTCTATCCATTGAGCCAAACCGGTTTCAGCTCATCTATTTCTTTAAAAACACACACACACACACACACACAAAACTATTGTTGAAATGATTACATACGTCCCCTTCCCCCATTGACTCCCTCCAGCCCTCCCCACCCCACCTCCACCCCTCTATCATCTATTTCTTCTTCTTCTTTTTTTTTTTTTAAATATATTTTATTGATTTTGTACAGAGGAAGGGAGAGAGATAGAGAGGTTAGAAACATCGATGAGAGAGAGTCATCGATCAGCTGCCTCTTGCACACTCCCTACTGGGGATGTGCCCACAACCAAGGTACATGCCCTTGACCGGAATCGAACCCGGGACCTTGCAGTCCCCAAGCCGATGCTCTATCCATCTAGCCAAACCAGTTTCGGCTATCATCTATTTCTTTAAAGAAGTTGAGGGAGCTTACGATATGTGTGGAGAGTGAGACTGGTCGGGAACACACAGTATCTGAGCTTCCCTGGAGCTCAGGGCTGGCTGGCCCTGGGGGACGGTTGGAGGTGCTGTGTTATGGGCTTGGCTCCTGTGCCGGGACAGACTCTTCCCGGCGGCACATTCCCAAGGCCGTGGGAAGCACCCTCCTCGCGGCTCTGGTGAAGTCCAAGAGTCATTTGTGGGTTCTTCTATTTACTCTTGATAAGCAGACACCGTTACCCTGAAATCCCAGGGGGGCATTCCGCGGGCGGGACACGGGCTTTCTCCTGGGCGGCCCAGCGCGTGGGGCTCGGGGGAGACCGCTCCTGGGCTGTCAGTGGTCTCAGCCACCGGTCACCCACTGGATAAAAGGCCAGCAAGACACGCCGGTCTGAGAGCCCTGGGGCTAATGGAGCCGAGGGGCAGCAGCCAGGGGAAGTGTGGAAGACCAGCCAGAGCCTTTCTCTTAGATGTGGAGGCACTAGATGGTTTCTGTGAGGCCCTGTGCTTACTGAGTGGCAGTCCCAAGCGTCCTGACTCCAAGTCTAGTGCCCCAGCCCTCGTTCAGCACAGTCCTCCCCTCCCCTCTACCCCCCTCGTCCCCCTCGCTCCCCTCAGCCCCCGCCCCAGCACAGCCCTTTCGGTGCTCCGTCCCACTGGAGCTGGCCCTTTGCTCTGGCTGCTGTTTGCCAGGGGAGCAGGGGCCGTGGGGGAGAGGCACAGCGTGTGCCTGCCCCCCCAGGGCGCTAGGAGGAGACCTGCCCCCGGACTGGGCTGGTTCCGGAGGCAGGAACGGAGCAGTGAGGGCCTCTCTGAAGACCTTCCCCGTGCTCTCCAAGCCCCCTGCTCTGGAGGGTGTACCGCCCTCCCCCTCACACCCTTGCCTCTGCCGCCCCGCAGAGCAGTGTGGCTGTGCTCAGGGCCTCTCTCTGGTGCTCCCTTCCCACCCGCCCAGGTGAGCCAGCCTGAGCGGGACCAGCCCTTCCCGCCTCGCAGCCCCGCCTGTCCAGACTCTCCGTGCTCCACGGGCACTCTGGTCCTTTCTGAACGTGAGGGTGGGCATCGGTGTGACCTTGAAGGGTGTCCACAGAGCAAAACTGCATCATCCGTCTTCCTCTGAAAAACTCCAAGGCGGGGCCTGACTGCTCTTCATTAAAAAGCACGGAGCGAGATGCCGAAACCGGTTTGGCTCAGTGGTAGAGCGTCTGTCTGCGGACTGAAAGGTCCCAGGTTTGATTCCGGTCAAGGGCATGTACATTGGTTGTGGGCACATCCCCGGCAAGGGGTGTGCAAGAGGCAGCTGGTCGATGTTTCTCTCTCATCGACGTTTCTAGCTCTCTATCTCTCTCCCTTCCTCTCTGTAAAAAAATCAATAAAAATATATTAAAAAAAAAAAAAAAAAAAAGCACGGAGCGCACTGCTGAGGACGGAGTCAGGAGTAACTGTGTGCGATTTGAAGCAAGTCGGATTCCCCTCGGCTCCTCTCTTCTCCGCTTGCAAATTTCTCTGAAGGTCACAGCTGCCCTAGCCAGTCTGGCTCAGTGGATAGAGTGTCGGCCTGCAGACTGAAGGGTCTCAGGTTCGATTCCAATCAAAGGCATGTACCTTGGTTGCGGGCACATCCTGGGGCAGGAGTGTGCAGGAGGCAGCTGATGGATGTTTCTAACTCTCTATCCCTATCCTTTCCTCTCTGTGAAAAAGTCAATATATTAAAAATAAATAAATAAAGGTCACAGCTTGAGAAAGGTGTGACCCTTTACAAATTGGTCCCCTTCCTAATGTGACCATGGCCTCCTTGGAAGGGAAGTTCGGGGCGAAGTTTTGGGTATAGATACACCTTTGTCAGGTAATTCTGCTGCCTTCGTTTCCCTTTGCTAGTGATTCTTTGGTTCTGGCTCACAGTTATTTTTTATTTATTTTTTATTAAGGTGTTATATGTGTACATATCTTATTGGCTCACAGTTATTATTATTCTTTGGGAACTGGGAGAATAGGAACCGCAGCCTGCACCGCTTACCTCACAGTGTTATTGGAGCACAAATGAAAAGTCATTAAAGCTTCTTTACTGTTATGCATGCTCTCCTTTTTGTTCTTGGTGACGACAGTGAAGTTACACGGGTGTATTTTGAGTGAGTTTCCTCTTGTTAGACTTTCAGTAAAGATGGAGAAAAAAATAAAGGACAAAAAGGTAACTGAGTGAGGTGATGAATGTGTCAACTAACCTTATTTGCGGTCATCATGTCACAGTGTGTGTGTATATCAAATCACATTGTGCTTCTTAAACTTACATGTTAAATGTCAGTTACGTTTCAATAACGCTGGAAAAAGGAAAACAAAACAAAATAGTGGAGGACCAACTTGTCTTCACCCGATAATCTTTTTAACTTTTGACATCGTAACAGTTAGCTCTCCTCCTCTTATAGGATCACAATGTCCAGTTTTGCTTCCTGTCTTAGTTTAACCCGAGTTATTATTATTATTACTTTTTTTTTAATTGTATTGATTTTTTACAGAAAGGAAGAGAGAGGGATAGAGAGTTAGAAACATCGATGAGAGAGAATCATCGATCAGCTGCCTCTTGCACACCCCCTACTGGAGATGTGCCCGCAGCCAAGGTACATGCCTGTGACCAGAATCGAACCCGGGACCTCTCAGTCCGCAGGCCGATGCTCTATCCACTGAGCCAAACCGGTTTCGGCTATTATTACTTTTTAAATATATTATTTTAATTGATTTTTTTACAGAGAGGAAGGGAGAGAGATAGGGAGTTAGAAACATCAATCAGCTGCCTCCTACACATCCCCCATGGGGGATGTGCCCGCAGCCAAGGTACATGCCCTTGAGCGGAATCAAACCTGGGACCTTTCAGTCCACAGGCTGACGTTTTATCCACTGAGCCACACCGGTTTTGGCTCTACTAACACAGGAGCAGGTAGTAAATGTAACACCTTTGGGAAGTGGCACTTAAGAGTTATCCAGCTCGTAAGAGGAGGCGTAAGGTATAGCAGCTGTACCTGGGTGGGCTTGGGGGTGGGGGCGGGGCCATTATAATTGGGAGGAGCTAACCCAGAGGGAGTGGAACCCTCAAATTGTAATGGGCCTGATGTCCTAAGAATAGGTGGAAGATAGAAGTTAATTGCCCTGACCAGGGATCGAGCCCGCAGCTGAGCTACATCGAGATGATTCTCTGAGCTCCCCGCCTGGGGCCTGGCCTGGGTGCTCTCTGAGGGAGTTGTAGCTATTTCATTCCGCGGGCCCTCCCCAGGGCGCTGTGGTCAGCCCCGTCACCCCGGATGAGGCTGCTGAGGCTGCAGGGACCCTCCTCGTGTCTTGCAGGTGCTTGTCCCAGAGATGGCAGCGTGGAGGCAATGCGTCCAACTCCTGCACCGTGCTGTCCCTGCTCGGAGCCCCCTGCGCCTTCATGGGCTCCCTGGCCCCGGGCCACGTTGCTGAGTGAGTGGAGGAGGGCGCAGGCGAGGCCTGCCCGCGGAGGGAAAGGGATCCGCAGTCCTGACCCTGGACGGGGCGGGGGGGCTGTAAGGAATGGTTTGTGGCCACCAGCAATGGGCGGGAGGGCGCGGAGCCTCCCCGGTGTGGCTCATCTGCTGCTCAGATGGTAACGCTGCTCCTGTGAAGGGTTTCCTTCCCGCAGCCTGGTTCCCGGCCTGGCGCCGGGGTCTGCTTCCGCCTGCCCACCTTCTGCTTCCTTGCTTCCCACAGGCTGCGGCGGTGTGACGCTGCCCTTCTCAGATCCCTTTCCCTGGCTGTGCGTGAGGCAGAGGGCAGCTAGGGACCTGGGTACCCCTCCTCCCTCAGGGCTGTCCATCACCCGTGGTCCAAGGGTCCAGGCTTCCTTCACCAGTGCTCACGTCCCCGTGGCTCTCGGAAGCAGCAGGAGCAGCCTGTGCCAGGGCATCCTGAAACCACGTGTGGGAGCCGGGCCGGACCCACGCCTCCCGGCTCATGGGCTGTGAGGCTGTCATCCACGCGCGCTCCGTGTTGGCTGCTGCAGGGACCCAGAGCCCTTTGACCCCTGGCACTGCCGACGCAGCAGGCGTTTATCAGGAGGCGAGGCCCACACTTTGCCCACTGCGGGCACGGGGCAGGCTCCGGGCTGCTGGCCCGTGAAGCCGTGCCCTTTGAACCCTGGCTTAGGGGGACCTGCTGCAAGCGCCCAGCCCGCTGAGCCACAGCCAGATTCCTTGGCGAACTGGCGCGAAGCGAATTGGGGCGAGAGCCTGCCCTGTGAGGTGGGACAGAGGGACCCGGAGCCAACAGCGGGTCACTGATTAACCCTCCTCAGCAGCTGCCTCCCCCTGCCCCACCCCCACCCCGGTTAGAGGCAAGACCGGCTCTCTTTTTTTCTTTTCTTTTTAAAAAAAATATATTTTATTGATATTTTTACAGAGAGGAAGAGAGAAGGATAGAGAGTTAGAAACATCCATGAGAGAGAATCATCAATCAGCTGCCTCTTGCACACCCCTCACTGGAGATGTGCCCGCAATCAAGGTACATGCCCCTGACCAGAATCGAACCTGGGACCTTTCAGTCCACAGACCGACGCTCTATCCACTGAGCCAAACCGGTTTCGGCAAGACCGGCTCTCGCTTAGAGTCGTGGGCCCACCTCTATGTAGCAATCGCGCTGATGGCGGGCCATTCCCATTCTCTCCGTGTGTCCCACAGACACTGAGTGAGCACCCACCACGTGCCAGGCCCTGGGTGCAGAAAGGGACTTGGCAAACCAGACCATGTTTTTTTCTGCCGTGGAAAGGCTGCGTCTTAAAAGGGCCCTTGGGGTCTGGGACAAGGACCAGTGTCCTGACCTGCTGTGTGAATTACACGCCCTCGAGCCGGCTCCCGCTCCTGGCGGCCCGGTGAATGAGTGGTGTCCACCGTGTCCCATCCTCACCAGCCCTGCCCGGCCCCTGCGGCTTCTCTTCGGGAGCCCGTCCACCTCTCTTCTTCTCGTCCCGCTGCCTTCGATCTCGCCCAGCATTCCTGTCTTTTCACCTTTCCACACGCCTGTCCTGGCCGGCTCGGCGTGGCTAGAAATGGGGCCCAGCCTCAGGGAGAAAGGCCAGGACGAGGGTCGGGCGGCTGGCCTACGTGCCAGCTCCTGGGCACAGCCCTGCATTTTCAGGGAGGGCCAGGGCGGCGCGGCCCCCTGAGGGCTGCCCATCACTTTGGCTGGAGGGGATTCTGGGTAAGAGTCCTGGCCCAGGGGAGGGCCATCGGCACTGGGAGCTCTCACTGCCCCTGAGGGTTGGCTTCGCTGCAAGAGGAGAGGCCGTGAGCGGTGTAGAGTGCCAGGCCTCCTGTGGGCCTGGAAGGGACTCCAGAGAGAAGAGAGCCACGGGGACCTGTGCAGAGGGCGGCTGGGGGCAAAGTATCACCTTGGCAATGATTAATGCCGCCTGGGCTCTGCACGGAGCAGCCACGGTGCCCGCACCTGCTTGCTGCACACAGGGCACTGCTGCAGGGCCAAGACTTGAGGAACGCGTGCAGATCCTTTCCAGCTTGAGTCAGGACCCAAAAGAATGTCCCTTGGTGTGTTTCTGAGCTCCAGCCCATGCACTCCTGCCTCTCCCGCCTCCTCGCACAGCCCGACAGACAGACAGCCGTCGATTTCTAGCTTCCTCCCGGCCCCCTCCGCTTGCACCCTGGGCCCTCGCAGCCCTGCCAGCGGCCTCCCGGCCCCCAAACCTTGTCAACTGCGCCTCCCCCGGGTTCCTCCGCCGGCAGTTTTGTCCTGGATGACCTCCGCCGCTATTCCGTGGACCTTCACCACACGGTCTTTCAGACCACGGGCTCCGTCCCCATCTCCACGGTCATCGTTAACCAGAGCAGCGGCAGCCGCACCATCCTCCACGCCCACAGGTTTGTGCACCGTCTGCGCCTCGCCAGCTGCCGCCGCCCCGGCTCGCCTCGCAGAGCAGGGCCTTCTCTTGCAGGAGGGGCACCCGGCCCGCACGGGCTCCCGCACCTCCCCGCCCCCGGGGAAGGTCCAGGCCACTTGTAGGTTCTAACTGGTGTCTCCTTGCCCTCCCCTTGGCCCGGGCTCCATCCCAAGTTTCCTGGTGGCTGACTTCAGGCAGCGGGGTGTGGACGTGTCCCAGGTGGCCTGGCAGAGCCGGGGAGAGACCCCGTGCTCTTGCTGCATCGTCAACAACTCCAATGGCTCCCGCACCATTGTGCTCTATGACACGTAAGGCCCCTGGGCCGCGCCCTGCCCGCCACACCCACCAATCAGCTCCCTCCCTTGCTGCCTGCCGTGGGCATCCCTTCGGCCCACCCTCTGCGGCCTCTCTCTTCGCACCAGAAATTGTCCCTGTGCCAAGCGGCTCAGTGATTCCCGAATTGTTCTCAATGAGGGGAGAAGTGAGGTGGGAAGGGGTGGGCTGTGTGCTCTGCTTGGCAGCCCGGCCTTGGTCAGCACTGAGGATGGGCAGGCAGAATGCACACGATGTAATTGGTGATGTGATTCCCCCATAATTAGCCAATCAGCAGCCCGGGTTTGGGAGTCGGGAAATTGGATGGGATGGGAGATATGATTCAAACCATCTTAAGCCCGGGGTGGGGGAGGGTGGGAACCTGGGGGGATTGCCAGGGTCAGCCGCAGCGTTGCTGGGGTTTGGGTGTTCATAAAAGATGAGGCCCTGCAGAGGTCCCAGCCTAGTGAAGCCAGACCGCACGGCACACTCCACTCGCAGCCACTGGTGAGGGGAGCGTTGGCCCAGCAGATCATTGGGTCACTGGGTTTGCTAAAAACGGCAAAGAATCTCAGCGGTTTGGTTTCCTGGGCGCACAGTATGTGCCAGGGGCCATGTCAGGGCTGAGATGGCCTAAGCTCAGCCGCCCTGGGGTCAGGCTCTCCCTACTGCCCGGCAGGACCCCTGCACCTAGAGAGCGACAGGCATCCTAGGACGAGCTTTACGGCCAGGGGCCCCCGGGCTCTGAGCGTCCCAGGGAGCGAGCGAGTGAGTGAGTGGGTGGGTGGGCAACAATCACATGGGGCAATCCCAGTCATCTGCCCTTTAAGCACCAACCTGTAGCAACTCTCACCAAGGCCACAACCTGGGTATTCCCAGGAAGCGAGGCAGGGAGCTCTGAGGAGAAATGGTTGTTGCCTACTGGCCGCAGGCCAGGCGTAGCCACACTTCATGTTACCTGCAACCAACGCCACAGGCCTGTGAGGCTGGGGGTTCTGGCCCCATTCACCGATGGAGAAGCAGCCTCACCCACAGCTGTCCACGTGGATGAAGGCTTCGGCTCCGGACACAGAGAGGACAAGGCAGGCAGACCCTAAGTTAGTCAAATATAAACTCACCCTCAAGCACTAAGCCTAACCATGCGGGTGTGAGCCGGAGCTGCCAAACTCCAGGCAGTGGTGCTGTCGCTGCTGTGGTGCCAGAAGTGAGCTCCAAGCAGAGGAGCCATGGCCTTTGTAGTTTCCCAGGACACTGCATGCTGGGAGCTATGTGTGTGTGTGTGTGTGTGTGTGTGTGTGTGTGTGTGTGTGTGTGGCTGGCAAGGGGGGGATTCTGGGAATTGTAGTCCTTGGTGCTTAGGGCATTCTGGGAGGTGTGGTCCCCAGGCACACAGAACTGGCTCCTTGACACATGCTTCCGTTGAGTTTGCCCTTACACAATATCACAGCCCCCAACACAGGAAGGGGCACCCTAGCAGACTGCCTCCCGTCGTCTGTCTGGATGGAGCCAAGTGGGGCAAGGAGTGGTTGTGAGTTTAGCTTGGGACAGGGTCAGTCAGTGCCAGGCATAAGGATTCCAGCAGGCCGTTGGAGATCCTGGCCCTGGCCAGCCTCTCACCATGCCACGTCTTCTCTGTCCCTTCCATCCTGTGACGTAGGAATCTGCCAGATGTCTCTGCTGCGGACTTTGAGAAGGTTGATCTGACTCGGTTCAAGTGGATCCACATTGAGGCAAGCTCCGCCTGCCACCCCTCCTCATGCTTTGCCTCCTTGGTTTCTTCGAACCATGGAGTGCCTTAGAGATGAATAATTCTACACTCCTCCCCTCCCAATCCCCTTTCCATCCTACTTTATGTTTTTAGGTAGAAAACTAAGGCCCGAAAAGATTGGGTGACTTACTCAAGACCACACAGTAGGGTGTAGGCATCAGGAGCGGGATGCTGGCCCCAGGCAAAGCCGCGTGCTCTCTGTGCTGCAGGCCGCCCTCCTCCGAAGCGGAGGAGCCTGGCTGAGGAGGCCTGACCCCATACCTCCCTCCCTCCCAAAGGAAAGGAACTAGAATCTTCACTGCAAGAGAAGTTTTGGAGTCTGGGTGGGAGGGAACCCTGAGAAGCCCCGAGTTCTCATCCTAGCCCTGTCAGTGCCTTATTGTAGGTCCTTAGGAAAGTCTCTTTTATCCTTTAGTCCCTTCATCTATGAAATGGAGGGACTGGTTGATCAGGTCTCTAAGATCCGTGACAGCTCTGGGATTTTTATTTTTATTTTATTATTATTATTTTTTAATATATTTTATTGATTTTTTTATAGAGAGGAAGAGAGAGGGATAAAGAATTAGAAACATCAATGAGAGAGAATCATCGATCAGCTGCCTCTTGCACACCCCCTACTGGGGATATGCCCACAACCAAGGTACATGCCCTTGACCAGAATCGAACCCGGGATCTTCCAGTTCGCAGGCCGACGTTCTATCCATTGAGCCAAACCGGTATCGGCAGCTTTGGGATTTTTAGATTGAGAATGGGGGTTCCCAGGCCTCTCTGCTCCCTCGCCCAGAGTCTCAGCGAGAAGGGGCGCCTACACCAGTGCGGCGGGCACCCCCCAGCAGGTCCTGAGCTGCCGGCTCTGCTCCAGGGCCGGAACGCGTCGGAGCAGGTGAAGATGCTGCAGCGGATCGAGCAGCACAACGCCCGGCAGCCCCCGGGGCAGAGGGTGCGGGTGTCGGTGGAGGTGGAGAAGACCCGAGAGGAGCTGTTCCAGCTGTTCGGCTACGGAGACGTGGTGAGCATGCCGGGCAGCGTCCTGCGCATCCAGCTAACCTGGTGCTTAAACGGAGCCCGAGAATGCTCCTGTCCTGCCTGCCGTGCCTGGAGCAGCCAGCTCCTCATGGCCCGCTGGCCTTGGCAGGAGGGGACGGAGCCAGAGGCCGGTCCCCAGCTTTAGGCTCTGGTGCAGGCCTCGGCAGAGGTCAAGGAAAGTTTCTCTACTCCAGGGGGTGCGTAGGTAGGAGGGTAGCACGATGGGCGTGGACAGAGCGTAGGCAGCCAGCCTCCGGGCAAGCCTGTGTGGAAGCATCTCCTCCCCAAGCCTCCTCAGTCTTTCTCTGTGTTCAGTGAGGGGATGGGACTGTTCCCCAGGTGCCCTCAGCTCTGGGGTGGGGACAGGCTGTAGGGGCCACTAGTGGGTGAGGGAGGATGGGAAGGGGTTTGAGCAGGGTGGGCAGTGAATGGGATCGGGTTAACGATCTTAGCATCGTTGTGGGAGCTGGTTCGTCCTCAATGGGTAAGGGTGGCACTTGGGCTGAAGTATTTTTTTTACCAAAACTGTCTCTGGCAATTAAAAAAAAAAAAAAATATATATATATATATATATATATACACACATACATACATATACATACATATATATGATTTTTTTAAAGAGAGGAAGGGAGAGGGATAGAGAGCTAGAAACATCGATGAGAGAGAAACATCGACCAGCTGCCTCCTGGACACCGCCTACTGGGGAATATGCCCGTAGCCAAGGTACATGCCCTTGATCGGAATTGAACCTGGGACCTTTCAGTCCACAGACTGACGCTCTACCACTGAGCCAAACCGGTTTCGGCTGTCACTGGCAATTTTTTTAAAAATATATTTTTATTGATTTGAGAGAGGAAGGAAAAGGGAGAGAGAGAGATAGAAACATCAGTGATGAGAAGGAATCCTTGATCGGCTGCCTCCTGCATGCCCCCTACCAGGGGACGGAGCCCGCACCTTAGGCATGTGCCCCTGACTGGAATTGAACCGGGGAACCCTTCACTCCACAGGCCAATGCTCTATCCACGGAGCCATACCGGCCAGGGCGGCAATTCTAATGTGTGGTTTCGTATGAGGCAACTTTTGAGGCCCTACCCCTTTGTTTTTAAGATGAAGAAACCAGACCTAGGGTGCATCGTTGTCTGAGAAAAACAAACCCCAAACAAAACTGCCCTGAGTTTACGGTTTCACTGGGCAGTGGTAGATTTCACCTCAAGAGGGCGCTCCAGTCTCGCTTTGGGTTTCCAACTGGGAGGAAATTCATGGATCTTAGAACAAATAGGCCAGGGTGTGTGTCCTGATTCACAGGCCGTATCCTGGCATATCTTGAGCAAGCATGAAACCGTGTTCCTTTGGGGCAGCAAAATGCTATTTTGGGGGTTAGGGTGGCCACGTGGGAGGAGCGGGGTCCTCATGTGGGGGCTGTGCTAGGCTGCTGCTGCTGGTGGGAGTGACTGAGCTGGGACTAGAGTTAGGGTGATCGCCTCCCACCGCCCACAGGTGTTTGTCAGCAAAGATGTGGCCAGACACCTGGGGTTCCAGTCATCAGTGGAGGCCCTGAGGGGCCTGTACAGCCGTGTGAGGAAAGGGTGAGCCGGGGCCCCGGGGAGGGTGGGTGTGGGGAGTGGGTGAGCCGGGACGTGGGGTCGGCCCCGGGGAGAGGGGACAAGGCTGGGGCCGGGGGTGGCTCCCGCCAGCTAAGCAGAGGCTCCGGCAGGGCCACGCTGGTGTGCGCCTGGGCCGAGAAGGGCGCCGACGCCCTGGGCCCCGACGGGCAGCTGCTCCACTCGGACGCCTTCCCGCCGCCCCGCGTGGTGGACACCCTGGGGGCCGGCGACACCTTCAACGCCTCCGTCATCTTCAGCCTGTCGCAGGGTGAGTCCCGTGGCCGCAGGCGCGAGGCTGGGGCCTGGCCCTGCCTGCCTGGACGGCCCGGCTGACCCAGCGGCTTGTCCCTCCCCCAGGACGGAGCATGCAGGAGGCGCTGAGGTTCGGCTGCCAGGTGGCCGGCAGGAAGTGCGGCCTGCAGGGCTTCGATGGCATCGTGTGAGGCCCGGGGGCAGCAGGCGTCCGCTCACGCCCCCGTGGGGGCCAGTATCACCGGCTGCTGCCCCTCCCCTCTGTCCAGCCCGGCCTCGGGGCTGCCCCGCTCCTGGGCAGATGCTGGCCGTGGGAGGGCTCTGCCTGCACCGGGTCCTGCATCTCACACCGCAGAGCCACGGAGCAAATAAACCTGCTTCCCAGCGCCCGCGTCCGTCCGTCCGTCTGGCCGCCTGTCTGTCCTTGCCGTCTAAGCTGCTCTGGCTGAGGCTTCCCCCATTCTCCCCACCCACCTCCCCACCCACCTCCCCACCCACGCCCGAAGGAGGGGCTGCTAGGCCAGGCAGCAGAAGTTTCCAGGCTTGCTGCCAGCGGTGCCCGGGTTCCGGGATGGTAGTCACAGGGAGCCTTCCTGGCTGCGGGGGAAACTCCCCCAAACAGCCACAAACCACTGGAGAAGCTCCTCCGGGCTCCGTGGCCGGGAGTGGCTCCTCGGAGCCCATTGCTGTGCGGTTTGGTGGGGACTTTGCCTCCAGGAATAGCTCCTCGGTGACCGCCCTGCAGCCCCAGAGCCCCGCCCAGGGAGCCACCCTGCAGTTAGGGCGGTGCCTCGGCCACAAAGGGGGCCTGGGTGCGGGTGTCGCCGTGCCCGGGGGAGACCAGGGCTGAGGGCACAGGGGGGGGTGGGGCAGGGTGTGTGAGGCCACAGGCTGGCCTGGGTGGCTGGGTCACCTTGGGTCCATCACTGAACTCCGTCTTCCTCCAGTTCCCTATCTGTCAAGTGGAGCTTATTCTGTGTGGCCACAGAATTACTGTGAGGATAAAAATCACAATGTGAAACGCCCAGGATAATGCGGGTGTGTGCCAGGCTCTTGATAAACAGTAGTTATTGTCAATATTATGGGGGAGGGGGGGCAGATACAGGGTGATGGGCAGGTCTGCCCTGAGCTGCGGGAGGGAGCTGGGTGTCTGAACACCAGGTGAGAGGGGCTCGGGAGTGTTTGGGCCCCAGGGGGACAGGGAGAGGCCAAGCGCTCGCAGCTGCTGGGAACACTGGGAAAGCTGAATCCTCCCCCTCCAAGAGGCCTGTCCTCCTGCCCCCACCCCCTCGCTGCGGCCTGGCCCGGCTGGCCCAGGGGACAGATGGCCCAGGGGGACGAATTTGGTCAGTTCTTTATTGATGGTCCGGTCCCTAACGCTGGGGACAAATTTGGTCAGTTCTTTATTGATGGTCCGGTCCCTAAAGCTGCCCCTCGACACAGGGTCTCCCTGAGCCACCCAGAAAGGGCTGCACCTCCTGGGACCGGAAAGGGGCCAGAGGGGGTCCTCGTTCCACCCTTCCAAGCTCACGTCCGGCTCTGAGACATCCGGGGCGCTCCCCTGTACCCTCGAGGTCTACATCTCGCTGTTCTCCAGCTGAATAGCGTGGACCTCAAACTCACTTGCGGGGGCCTTATACTCCAGCGTCTCCCCTGGGAGCTCCTCCGCTTTCCTCCCAGCGTCCCTGGCCTCAGCCTGGGCCCTAGCCTCCCCTCCGGGGCCGGGGGCCTCTCCTCCGGCCTCCTGTCCAGTCTCCAAGGACGCCTTCCCGGCCTCCACCTGCCCCTCACCCTCCCCGGGCCCCGTGGCTTCCTGTGCCTCTGGTCGTGACGGGCTCTTCGCCAGCGGGGGCTGCCTCCCCGGGTCCCGTGGCTCCGGGGGCCCGTGGCGCTCCGGGGGCCTGGGGGCCTCTCCCGGGAAGTTGATGAGCTCTGCCGGGGTCATGAGCCCATCCCCGTTCAGGTCCTGGGTCTCCAGCACCTCGTCCACCAGCAGGACCACCTGTGGGCGCACACAGCTGCCGTGTCTCCCGGACCCCTGACTCCCCTCCCCCCCAACGCCCCTCTCCCATCCCTGTCATGCAGGCTCTGAGCATTCCTGGGGATTCCCCGAAAAAGCCAAAATGAAAAAGACCAGAGCCCCGAGGAGCTGGGTCTCCTTTGCAGGACAAGGTGTCCCCCCACCTCCCAGCAGGGCTTACTGGGTTGGTGGTGGGAGAGTCAGCGGCTCCGGGGGCCAGAGCTGCTGTCAACATGGACATCAGCTCCAGACCGTCCAGCTGTCCACTCTGGTCATAGTCGTGGAGGGCAAAGAGGTAGAGCAGGACTGGGGGAGAGAGGCTGGATCAGAGGCCCGTCGAAGGACAGGAGGAAGCAGGAGGCAACGGGGCGGCCCGAGGTCAGTCCCACTCTGGCTGCCCTGAGCCTCCCGTCCACCGTCCCCCCCCCACCCCACCCCTGGCCCAGCCCCTCACCCTGCTCCCGGCTCATGTGCTCCGGCTCCTCTTCCATCCTCTCTAGTCCCTTTAGGTAGCTCTGCAGAAGTCTGCCAGGAAAGCGGACAGTCAGCCCCTGAGAGGCCAGCTTGCACCCCACACCTCACTGTCAGGCCCCCAGCCCAGCGACTCACCGCAGCTGCTCCTGGCCTGGCTGGAAGGGGTTGGGGAGGGGCTGCTTCTGCACTTCAGGGACCAGCCTGGAGGAGAGAGGGGAGGACCAGCCTTGCAAAGAGCATCCCTGAGAGCCCAGCCTCCCAGCCTCCCACCCCCAAGCAGAGTTCTCACCAATTCCCCAAAACCTTGTGGGGGAAGATTCCTACCTCGGATGGTCAGTGAAAACCCTTAAAACCTCTGGTCAGGTGGAGGCCAGGCGAGGCCACAGCTCGTCCAGACAAGGTGGAGACCCAGGCAAACAGCGCATCGGGGTAGGACAGTGTAGGTTGGGGAATGGTTCTATTCTGATGCTGGGCCAGCGGGCAGTGTCTGGCTGAGCTCAGAGGCCTGCCCACCCTGATACAGGCCCGTTTACCCCAGGACGCACACGGGCCTCTTTATTTCCCCCAGCTGAGGCCACGAATGCTGGTGTAGGGGTTTAGAGCTGGTGTAGGGGGTTTAAAGCTGGTTGGGGTCTCTGCCAGTCTTGTTTGTTTGTTTGGGCCCATCTTTAAAGCTCAAGATTTGCTCTCAGTTTTGGACGAGGCTCTCTGGCTGCCTGCGCCGATCCAGAGCTGTGACCCAGGGAGCTGGCAGAAGCTGCGGCAGCAACTCTGGTCACGGCTGCTGGCCCTGCCGCTCCTTGTCTGTCCCCCGCCCCGGCCAGCGCCCCCTCTGCACAGGTACGAGAAAGGTGCGCAGATGCCGAAACCGGTTTGGCTCAGCGGCAGAGCGTCGGTCTGCGAACTGAAAGGTCCCAGGTTCGATTCCGGTCAAGAGCATGTACATTGGTTGCGGGCACATCCCCGGTGGGGGTTGTGCAAGAGGCAGCTGGTCGATGTTTCTCTCTCATCAACGTTTCTAGCTCTCTCTCTCTCTCCCTTCCTCTCTGTAAAATATCAATAAAATATAAAATAAAAAAAGAAAGGTGCGCAGAGAGGTGATCCTCTAAGTCTCCGCGTTCCCTCCCTGTCTTGAGAGGACTGCAGCCCCTTCCCTGGCCCTCAACTTCCTCTGTGAGTTCACGCCTCACTGGGACTGAGCTCCTGGCCCCAATGAGTCCAGCAGACACGGATCACGTGCCCCCTGTGTGGGGCACTCTAACGGGCTCCAGGCAGAGGCTGAGTGGGTGGCAGGGATACAGAGGTTAGGCAGCGCACGTCCCAGTCTCTTGCCTCCGAGGGGGGCCCATCACACCGTCTCCTTGCTCCCAGCCCACGGCCTGGAGACCCCCGATCCCATTACCTGGTGGTTCCATCCTTGGGGGCAGCCTGGCTCAGGGGCAGCAGCAGCAGCACTAACATCCTCATCGTCAAAGGTGACATCTCTCCTGGAGCTGGAACAGGTAACACCTGCCCTAGGAGCAGAGTTAGGGAGTCAGGGGGAGGGGTGTCTGCACAGAGAGGGGATCGGATCGGTGGGGAACAGCTCCTCTCCCTACCTCCACCTCTCTGCCTCCACCTCTCCCTGCCTCTACCTCTCCCTGCAGCCCAGGTGACAGGACACAGGGACATCTGTGACACCACCACGACCACACACACACACACACACACCCCCCCGCCCGGGTGGAACTTCACTCAAAGTAAATTGACTCCAGATCCAGGTGTAAAGTGCACAAAGACCGGCTCTGGAAGGGGTGCTGTGGTCCGAGCCCCTCCCACACCCGGTCCTCTTGCCCCGCAGCCTGTGAGGGGCTGGGAGGAGGCAGTTCCAGCACCTCTCGTTCGGTTCGCTGGCTTTACAGATGAAACCAGCTCAGACAGGTTAAGAAAAGGGCACATTGGAAACAGAGAGAGTCGCAAGAAGACCCACACTTAGGGAGGCGGGCCGTTAGACTGTATGGATTGGAACCTCACCGAAGAACAAGTCAAAAGAGGCGCAGACTCCATGAAACAGGTCTAACTGAACTCAGGGAGGGATTGAAAACAACAGACCAGAGTCAAACCAACAGTGGCCCCAGGAGCTGGTACTGACGAAGGGCCAGTGGGAAATCAGATGCCAAGATGAAGGGAAAAACAAAAGCTTCCCCCTCAGACCTGCATTGTGCAGGCCCACTGGCCACAAAGCCACGTGATTACATAACAACCGTCAGAGAGCGGGAGCGTGAAGCTTCCTGACGAGCCCCGGGTGCGGCCCGCAGCTGCACGCTCCCGAGGAGGCGGACGCACACGCGGCCGAGACCGAGACCCGGTGCCCGCCTCCAGGCGGAGGAACCGCCGGTCCGGGCGGGGGCGAGGGGCCCTCTGAAGCGGTGCCTTGCACACTGGCTGCCCTGAACGTTTCTGGAGAAAGGTCCATAGCGTTCAGTGCATTCTCCGAGAGCACCATGGCCCCGACAAAGCTCAGAACCACGGCAAGGGGCGGCATAGCTTTCTAAGGCCGTGGTCAGCAAACTGCGGCTCTCGGGCCACATGCGGCTCTTTGGCCCCTGGAGTGTGGCTCTTCCACAAAATACCATGGCCTGGACGAGGCTATTTTGAAGAAGTGGCGTTAGAAGAAGTTTAAGTTTAAAAAATTGGGCTCTCCAAAGAAATGTCAATTGTTGTCCTGTTGGTATTTGGCTCTGTTGACTAATGAGTTTGCCGACCACTGTCCTAAGGGGTGCGGAGGAGCAGGCGAGCACCTGGTAATACAGGTGGGAGCCTGGCCCGGCTGCACCAGCTGAGCTGCCCGGGGAAGCACAGCTGAACGTGGAAGTCCACACGGAGACGCAGCTGCCGAGAGTCCTGGAAACTGTTCTCGGTGTTCTGTGCACCCGGCTGACCCCAAAGGATATGGTGAGTCTGCACAGTTGGTCCACAGTCGCCAGTGGCCCAAGGGGTTCTGAAGCCGCAGCTGCCCAAAGGTGTTGGCACACGTTGGCTGGCAACGTGGTCCTTGTGCTTTAGTTGCTGGACCCAGGAGAGAACCTAAGGTCTTGGGCCCATGCAAGGGAGGCAGCTGGAGCCGAGATCCCGGAGTAACTGGGGACCCTCAGAGGTCCCACCACAGTGGACACCCCCCCCCCCCGGCAGAAGAGTGGACTAGAGAACTCTCCGGGCCTCACATCTGGGAGTCTGCTGGTAAACGTCCCAGGGAAAGTAACTCCAGAGCTGGAGAAAAATAGAAAGTGTCTTTTCCAATGTCATGAGTTGGCAAGAAAGTAAGAACTTCTCGGTACAGAAGCAGTAAAGCCGGTAATCTCGAGGAAAAGTCAGCTCCTAGTCAGCCTTTGCCTTAAGACCGTTGGCCAAACCCACCCCCGGGACCCAGAGATATCAGTTGAGTGCTTTGTGCCACAGAGACCAGAGAGATAGCCTGGGCCATGCAACGGGAGAGACTCATGGGAGGTTCAAACAGCTCCACGCTCGATCCGAGGAGGAGCAAAAAGTCGGAAGGGCAGCACAGAGTCAGGCTGATGTTGACCTTGGTGCTGAGAAGGGAGGAGGAAAATGTCCTCCCTGAGAATGTGCAATAAGCCTGCTCCAAGGCGGATTCGAGGCCAATCAATGTGGCTTCTGTGGCTCAAAAACCGAAGCAGGTCGTTTATTGTGAAGTGGTACCTGGTTGATAGTGCGCCCAGCTGACTGACAGAAGAAAATGTCCACCTTGTCTGAAGGAACACAACTCCAATCCAGGGCTCAGAGAAGCTCCATAGCTAAAGGTTCCAGGAGCGTGAACTCAGTCAAAAGTCATAAACAGACAAGGAAATAAGACCCTGTGAATAAGAGCCAGGTAAACAATGGCAGGCAAACCCCGAGTTGTGAAAACTAAAGATATTACAATTCTCACACACATTATATAATATTTAATACATTTTAAGAAATTAAAGAGAAGCTTTCAACTATGAGGAAGGAATAAGAACATAAAAAATGACCAAGTAGATGTGAAGATGAACCCAATATATGCAAATATAAAGAAAAGATTGATTAAAAAAAATACAATGAGCCCTGACCGGTTTGGCTCAGTGGATAGAGCATTGGCCTGCAGATTGAAGGGTCCCAGGTTCGATTCCAGTCAAAGGCATGTACCTTGGTTGCAGGCACATACCCAATAGGGAGTGTGCAGGAGGCAGCTGATCGATGTTTCTCTCTCTCATTGATGTTTCTAACTCTCTATCCCTCTCTCTTCCTCTCTGTAAAAAAAATCAATAAAATATATTTAAAAACAAACGATGAAAAAAATACAATGAGTGAGTTACACAGATTAGACAGAGGTGAGGGAGAATTAATGACATGCAGATATGCACCTGGGAGCCCTCAGCCACCATGGCAGAGGTCCGGAGGCCCTGAAGCCACCATGCTGAAAAGGCCAAGAGGAGGAGACACAGAGATGCCTGAGGAGCCCCAGCCATTCACCTCCAGCTGCTCACACCTGCCCAGCCCCGGGACCACACAGGTGATTCCAATCCCCGGCCTTCAAGCTGCCTCAGCCAACACAGGATGGAGCAGAAAAGTACTTGTGTCTATGCCCTGCCCAGACTGCAAATGCTCTTGTGCTCAGCCACTAAGGCTTAAATTACTGTTTGACACAGTAATTTAAAAAAATAAATTAAAAAAAAAAAAAATATATATATATATATATATATATATATATATATATATATATTGCCGAAATATATTTTGATATCTAGCTCTCTATCCCTCTCCTTTCCTCTCTGTAAAAAAAAATCAATTATATATATACTTATATCAGATTAATCTTCCTTTGCTGGAACTCCACTGCTCCGAAACCTTCAATGGCTCCCTATTTCTATTACTATCCAGAGTCCTCACCTGGGCATTCAAGACCTTCTACAATCAAATATCAAGTTATCACGTTAGACTTATCTTCCAGGGCGCTCTCACACTAACACTCTGCTTCCACAGAGGGCTTAGTGGAGTCTCCTGACATACTTTTCACTTTCTCTATTTTATTTATTTATTTTTTATTCTTTTGTTAATCTTCACCTGAGGATATTTCCCCCCCTTGATTTTTAGAAAAAGTGGAAGAGAGAGGGAAAGACAGAGAGAAACACATGGACTGGCTGCCTCCTGCATGCACCCTGATGAGAGGGCCCAGGCCGGGGAGGAGCCTGCAACCAAGGTATGTGCCCTTAACCAGAATTGAACCCGGTACTCTTTGGTCCACAGGCCGACACTCTATCCACTGAGCCAAACCAGCCAGGGCTTTTCACTTGCACTTTTCAGTGTTTTTGCCCGAGCTGTTCCACCCCCTCCCTGGAATATCCCATCCTGGTTGTGCTGCACCTCACAAACTTAATCCAGTGCCTGTGGGCTTTTCGTGTCATCTAAGTAATATTCTCTCAGGTAATGCTTCCACCGGTGACAGTTTTGGGACAGGTAACCCCCCTCTCCATTATTTAAAGGAAGTCAGGCTCAGCCTGGTCCGAGTGGCTCCGTCGGTTGAGCATTGACTGTGCACTGAAAGGTTGCCAGTTCGATTCCCAGGTAGGGCACATGCCTGGGTTGTGGGTTTGACCCCCCAGTCAGGGAGTGTACTGAAGACAACCAATCAAAGTTTCTCTCTCTCTCACTCCTTTCCTCTCTCTAAACATGTCTTCCTCAGGTGAAGATTAAATAAATAGATAAAGGAAGTCAGCCCAAGGCATTTCCAGTAATAGTAATGAGGTGGGCATAATGCGATCCATTCACACACATTTCTAAGTATTTACAAAGCATTTGTAAGCAACAGAAATAAAGCCATTATTGAACCACTGCCTGTCAAATAAAAACATTCTAATCATTTTCTATAACCATAGGTGCGAGCATAATTCACCCTAATGGCCACATGAAAGCCACCACAACTGCCAGTTAACCATTGTGATGTAATTCAGTAAACTTATTCACATCCTTCCTACACACACACACACACACACACACACGCACGCACACGCACATTCCCACCACCCTCCGGCCTCTCGTTTCTTCAAGCCTTTGCGCCTGTGCATGAGAGGCGAGCGGCCTTGGGGTCAGACCTCTGACCAAATCCTGCCTCTCACAGGCTGACGGGTGGCCTGGGCAGGTGTCTCTGGCCCTGGGACCTTCGTTTTAACAACCCAGGGTAGCAGCTCCCGTGGGGGATGGGAGGGTGCCACTCGGTGATGTAGGTCAGCTAAGAGGCCGGCAGCGAGCAGATGCTTCCTGGGGAGTTCAGAGTCTCCAGGATGTGGCAGGGCCTTTGGTCTCCCCCAGCGCCCCTGCCATGGCCACGCCACCTCCGCTCCCTCAGGAGGGAGCCCGGCACCCGCAGCGCATCCATGCATTTCTTGCTCATTCTGTCAGGAAGTTATTTGGGACGGAATCCTCTCCCCTAACTTATCTCTGGTGCCGCCCAGCATCACCCCCACTCCCATACCTCCACCCCCACCCCACAGCCCACCCCCCCCCCCCGCCCCCCTCCCCCTGCCCGAGAGAAGAGCCTGGCTGACAGCCACAGGGCCCCCACCTGGGAGCGGGCTCCAGCCGGTCCTCCCGGTGCCTCTCCGGCTGTCTAATGAGGATGGGCTCCTGCAGCCCCCTCCCAGGCTGTCAGGAGGGAGGGGCGCTTGGGTGACTGAATCCTCCCAGCCCCGTGGAGGGCGGGAAGCCGGGCTTCCCCCTCCTCCGCCCGCTCTCAGGGCCACCCTCCCCGAAGGCCCGCTGCGCCGCGCCTCCAGCTGCAGGGGATGCGGAGGGACTGCGCCTTCAGCATCGCTCAGAGCCAGGAGGCCGCAGGGCCCCGCGCCCGCACCCCGCGCCCGCACCCCGCGCCCTGGAGGCTGGGGCGAGGGTCCCCGCCTCCCCCCCCCCCCCCCCCCCCCCCCCCCGCGCCCCAGCTCGCTAGTCCGGGCGGAGCTCGGACTCACCTGCGGCAGCGCGCGGCTCCGGCGGGGGCGGCTGCGGCGTGGCCGGGGCAGCGCGCCAGCTCCTCGCCGCCTCCCTGGCAGCTCCACGTGGCCGCTCCACGTCGCCCTCGGGCCCAGCCGCGCCCTGGCCGGGGCACAGTCCTGGTCGCCAGCCCGAGGAAGGGCAGGGCACCGCGCCTCCCGATCCGCCCCGCCCGCGGCCCTCCGCAGCTCCTCCAGTCTCCAGTCTCCCCGCCCGCAGCTCCTCCAGTCTCCCCGCCCGCAGCTCCTCCAGTCTCCCCGCCCGCAGCTCCTCCAATCTCCCCGCCAGCAGCTCCTCCAATCTCCCCGCCTGCAGCTCCTCCAGTCTCCCTGCCCGCAGCTCCTCCAGTCTCCCCGCCCGCAGCTCCTCCAGTCTCCCCGCCCGCAGCTCCTCCAGTCTCCCCGCCTGCAGCTCCTCCAGTCTCCCTGCCCGCAGCTCCTCCAGTCTCCCCGCCCGCAGCTCCTCCAATCTCCCCGCCTGCAGCTCCTCCAGTCTCCCTGCCCGCAGCTCCTCCAGTCTCCCCGCCTGCAGCTCCTCCAGTCTCCCTGCCCGCAGCTCCTCCAGTCTCCCCGCCCGCAGCTCCTCCAGTCTCCCTGCCAGCTCCCGCTGGGGGGGAGAGAGGGAGGGGGGAGAGAGAGAGGTTGGAGCACATGGCTGTGCGTGGCAGGAGCCTGTGGCTCAGCAGGGGTGTTTGTGTGGCTGTGTGTCCTGGTGACTGTGGGCCTGAGGGAGTGTGGCCCATGTGAGACTGATGGTCTGGTGTGACGGTCCGGTGTGTGACGGTCTGGTGTGTGACGGTCTGGTGTGTGATGGTGCAGGAGAATGAGGGCCGTCCGGGTGGTAGGGTATCTGGGTGAACTCTGCCTGAGTTGTTTGAGATCGCAGTGACAGCTGTGGCTGCTGGTTTCCAGAGCCGGTACCTGTCCTATCTTTGTGTGGCTGTGACTGTGACTGCACCTCACGGAGAAGTGGCTCCGTGTGAGGCCTGGAGGGGGTGTGGTGGTGGCAGTTGTTAGCCGGTGCAGACTGTGGCTGCAGCTTTGTGGTCAAAATGGAGTCTCATCAATGTTAGTCACAGTGGTCAGTCCCTCCACCGAGGCTTCAGACTGCACCTCCATCCACCGGCCTCAGGACTTAGTTCTTTGAATAAATGACTTCTTACCTCGCTGCAGTCTTCATCTTCTCCTTCTCCGTCAGCTGCTTCCCACCAGCTCCCACCACAACACACCCGCTCTCATCAGGCCCCCCCCTCTGTCCTGGTGGACTGGACTCTGCCGCCTTGGATCACGGTCACTGTGTTTCAGCAACACCGTTTCTCTCTCTGTAGTCATCTCTTCTTCGTTTTCTTCATGCTTCAGAATTCCTCTGGGCTGTTTCCTCACTCCCCATCTGTTCATGTGCTCATCTGCTGCTGTAGCTTCCATCACTCTGTGTTATAGGTTGAATTGCATCCCTCAGAGTTTTATATGTTGAGGTCTTAAGCCCGGATTCCTCAGAATGTAACCTTCTTTGCAAGTAGAGTCCCTGCAGATATAATTCGTGAGGATGACTTCATACTGGAGTAGGGTGGGTTCCTAACCTCATATGACTGGCATCCATATAAAGCTGTGGGGACACACATGGAGAAGAGCATGTAAAGATGCAGGCAGAGGTCGGGTGGAGCTTGGATATGACAGTGAAAGCCAAACATTGCGAGCAAAACATCAGAACCTAGACGAGAGGCCTGGGACAGACTCTTCCAGAAGAAATCAATCTTGCTAACACCTTGATCTTGGGCTTCTAGTCTCCAGAATTGTGAGATTCTAGTCTCCAGAACTGTGATTCTTCTAAAAACAAATCTGAATATGTGCCCACATCTTCATCAAACTCTCTGATGGCTTCGCCCCACCCTTAGGATAAACTCGCACAGCCTGGTTCTGGACCATCCCATTGGCTCCAGCCACACCACATTCATTTTGTTCCTAAGAAGCCTCTCACATCCAGGCTCTGCTTCGGCTGCTCCCTCTCCTGGAGCAACTGTTCTCTGCCGGCCTCCCCCTTGCCTGCCTGGAAATCTCCTGCTCGCCTCTTGGTTTTGCCTTAAGTGTATTGCCATTTAACATTTGGGCATACTTCCTCTGATCCCATGGTGTTAGCACCATGCTCTATTGCAGGGTTTCCGCCCTGACTACATACATGAAGCTTCTGGAGAGCTTTTAAGTTATATTGATATTTAAGCTCTGCCTCAGACCAACTATAGGGTGCCCCCCTGCCCCCCCAAATGTATACGAACTTTGAATGAGTACAAAACCAGTGTTTATTAACACACAGTTCATTTTCAAATTTTAAAGAATCTACAGAGGTGAGTGATTTCTTTTAAATCAATGCCTATTTTCAAACTGATGACCATTCTGGCCCAGCCACTGCTGATAACTCAAAGCAATGGAATCACAAACATCGAGAATCATTTTGTGTGATATTTGTGCGCCCTCCGCTTGTCCACTGTTGCCGGTTTTGTCTGTAAACGTTATCTTTTATGTAGCCCCATGGAAAAAAAAAAAGTCTAGTGGCACTTGAGGACAAATACTCGTTGTTCGAAGTTTAGCCTGGCTTCATCCATTATTTCAAATCAGTTAAACCTGAAAAGGGTTAAACATTGAGTCATTGGCCTTTCAAGTGTGTACACATTGTATGTATGTAGAGGGAGGTGTGGCCGGGCACTGGTGGGTTTTAAAAGCCCCAGAGGATTCTGACCTTCAGCCAAGGCTGCGAGCGGCTGCCCTGGCAGCTGGCTTGTTTCTGCAGCCAGGGAAGACGGGGACAGCAGCCTGGGATCCCAGGGCCAAGTGGGTGAGAAGTGGCTGCCGGCTGCACTTACTTGGCAGGGATTCCATCGCACAGCGAGTGGCACCGTCTGGGCGACTTGAACTGTGTGTGTGTGTGTGTGTGTGACTGTGGAGCCCCCCCACGCCGTGGCTGTGGAGCCCCGCGGGGCGAGGGCCAGGCTGCACGGCTGCACTGTGACACCGCAGGGCCAGCCGCCACGCGGGCTTACCACTCCCTGAAAGTCAAGGTCACTGTGAGTGGCTGTTCTGTGTGACAGGGCAGGACGTCACCCGGGGGTGGCGGAGTCCCCTGTGTGAGGGCCGAGGCGGGGGACTCACCTCGCCAGGCAGTAGAGGAAGGGGCGCCGGTGCCCCTCCGGGAGATGGCGGCTGCGGGCCAGGCCGCCCGTCCCGCCCAGGGGCTGCCCCGCGTGTGACCCGGCGGAAGCAGGCGGCGGCGGGAAAGACATCTGCAGGCCGCTCGGTCCAGCTCCGCGGGCGGCCGCAGCCCCGCACCCAGCACCCAGCATCCCGCTGCCCGCGCCCAGGCGCCCGGGGGGCGGGCCGTGGAGGCGGGCCCGCCCGGCGCGGCGTCCAATCGGGGGTGGCGGCAAGGCCGGCGCGCACCTGCGGACCCACTAGTCAAAGCCAAGGCCCGGAGCGGTCTGGACCTCGGGAGCAGAAACCCTGCCGCGCGATGATCAGTCTCTCCCCGTGGCTCTGGACAGATCTGTTCTTTCTGCTTCTGAGTCTTGGCGTTGCCCTCTACTTGGGCTACTACTGGACATGTGTGCCCCAGGTGGGTGCGGGTCCAGCGCTCTGGCCGGGGAGTTGGGGGTGCTCGAGTCTAGGGGGCAGCTTCAAGCAGGGAGCTCAAGCCTTTGGTGGGAGCTGGCATGGTTGGGCCTCGCTTCCCAGGTGAAATCTGACGCCCCAACCCCACCACCGCCCCGCCCGGCCCCCGCGCTCCTGCCAGGCTCCCTTGGTATCGCCGCCCTATGGAGAGTCGTTCCTTTGCCTGCCTGGCGTCTCTGCGTTATCTCCCGTCCCGCTTGCCAGATGGGCCGTTCAGGCATCGAGGGGTTCTGCTCTCTATGATGTGGGGAGGCATTTGGGGAGGCGGGGTGGAAGGCACCCCGAGTGTCAGGAAAACACCACGCGATGTTTCCTTGCCTTTTCTAGCAGTCTAGCCAACTTCCTCATTAGCTGCACTGACTGAAGGAACCTGAGCCGGGGGTTGTGGCTCACTCCCAACACCACCCATCCGATAGTAGGCCTTGCCTCTCCCGGCTCAGGATTAATGGATAACCCTAACTGCCCTTGCTCATTCAGCCTTGTTTTAAGTCCTGGGCTACCCATGTTTAATGAAGTGAGAAAGTATGAGGAGGCTGATTTTGATGAACTTGGAGTTTATAAACTCACTGAAATTTAGGTAAAAACATAATTTACATATTCAGAAAAACCTAAAGAGTTCACCTTCATTGAACTCTGTCCTAAGTAGCTGGGTGTAACAAGAAACTTACTGATTCCAGCCCTTTATGAATAAGGAATCTTAATGTTACCTAGACGTTTCTGTATTTCCAGAGCTTTCAACATTCACATGTATTTTTTTATACAAGAAGTCTGCCTTAATAAAACAATTTAAAAAGTCCAAACCTCACAATACCCTATATGCCTGATTGGGAAAGTCACTTATTTCAGACCTTAATGAAACATTTTCCTTTGCTTGCGACAAGCCACACAGAAGTCAGAGACCTCTGCCACTTCATTCTGCAAACCCTGTGACTATGCAATTCTCAGGAACGAGGCAAGAAGTACTTCACTATAGTTAAAATGAAACCCACATAAATCGCACCTGTGACCTAATTTATTAGGACCTTCTTCTATACCACTGAGCTGCTTGACCAAGGATTTAATAAACTGATAACTCAATTTACTACCTTGGCGATTAGGAGGTAATATATAGTATAGTGACTAAGAGCACAAGCTCTAGAGTTGAACAGACCTGGGTTTGAATCACAGCTCCCCTGCTAACTAGATTTAGCAAGCTTCACGACCTTTGACAACTTACTGGACATTCAAGTCTGTATCCACAGAGGGATCCCATTACTTAAAGAGCTGCTGTGAAAATCCCAGGATATAATCGTGTAAAATACTTAGCACAATGCTTGGGACATAATGAGCACTCAATAAATCTTCCCTCCTGGTATTAGTGTAATACAATATCCTGCTTTGCCTCGTTTGTTGTGTAACTTTGGGAAACAACTTAATCTCCGTGGGTGATAGTTCCTTTACTTATAACATGTCCTACCTCATAAGGGTGGGCTTAGCCTGGTGCCTGAATGTAGCACCCAATGGATCACAGGCATTATTCCAGGGCTTAAGGACCAGGGTGTGAGTCACATCACCAACACACAACCAGCCTGGCCTCACCGGATCATCATTTACCAAGCCGCCTTTGAGAACCAAGACTGCAGAGGAGATAGGCATCCCGTCTTCAGGTTCCTTAAGGCCTGGGACAGAAATGCCACTTCTATTTAGTCTGAACAGCGTACTCCTCCTTCATACGCCTCTTGTGTGGCTAGTCCTTCTCATCCACTTGGTCTACCCAGAAGGACCAAACAGAGGAGTTGTAAGTCAGGGTGGGGTGCTCACTCACCTCACTTGTCCCTGTTCCATCCCTGTTGCCTTTTCCCTGGCTGGCATGAAGGAAGAGAAACATCTTGTCTCATGGGAACTATTCCTCCTTTGGGGTATGACCTAACAGCAGGGGCCCAGGAGTGAGAAAATGAGGTGCTGTGGCAGGAAGCAGCCCATCAGCAGTGAGCACACAGTAGGGAATAGGAATATGTAGCAATGGGCTGCTCAAATCAGGGAGCCAGCGCGGCTAGCGCTCGTTTTAGAAAGATGACAGTGAGGAAAATACACCTGCAAGACAAAGGTCACAGGTTGAATGGTGCTACGTTTCTTCGGGTCCCAATCCTTCCTGCAGGGGATTGGCTGGGCAATTTATCTATATTACTGCTCTCTCCTAAGTAGGGCTGGGGCATGGACAGGCTAAATGGAGAAGTCAGCACCCAGTCAGCTGCAGCAGCTCCTGGCCTGGTTGAGCCTGTAGTCAGTTCTGGAGAGGTGACACTCCAGGACGGCAGTCCTCCGGGCCTCTAGCTGGACTAGATTAACACAAGTGACTTGGCTACTCCAGACTAGGGTATGCTGGACTCATTTCCAGCTGAAGCAACGCCCTCTGGCTTGGCACAAAAACCAGGGGAGTGAGGCAGATTGTGTTGTGATTACAGAGGCCTCAACTGGTGGCTGGGTCCCGGTTTCTGGCCTTCCTGGAGCAACACTGTCCAATCACCGTGGAAACTTTCTATCCTACGCCATGGTGTTTGGAGGGGCGGCTACAAACCATCTTCAGAGCCTTACTGCATCCTCGGTGTCCAGTCTCTTACCGGAGGTAAGAAGGGACAGAAGGGGGTAAACACCGTGTTGCAAGTATAAGGCCATCTCTTTTAAAATGCAGTCTTTGCCATCCTCCTCAGTGTGTTGAGGGTAAAAACGAAGGCTATTGCCGAAACCGGTTTGGCTCAGTGGTAGAGTGTCAGTCTGCGGACTGAAAGGTCCCAGGTTCGATTCCAGTCAGGGGCATGTATGTTGGTTGCGGGCACATCCCCGGTAGAGGGTGTGCAAGAGGCAGCTGGTTGATGTTTCTCTCTCATTGATGTTTCTAGCGCTCTCTCTCTCTCCCTTCCTCTCTGTAAAAAATCAGTTTTATACACACACACACACACACACACACACATTTTCCGGCGTGTAAGACGACCTCTGAAACGAAAAAAAGTCAACCGAAATCGGGGGCAAAAGACCAAAATTGCACAAAAATTACCTGCAGATCTTGACGGCAAAGTAAGTCTTTTCTTTCAAGTGGGGGGTAGTATTATACAGTGAATATAGGCCTAAACCTCTGTTTTAACAGTAAAATTAGGGGGTCGTCTTATACACCGGAAAATACGGTGTGTGTGTGTGTGTGTGTGTGTGTGTGTGTGTGTATATATATATATATATATATATATATATATATATATATATAAAGGCTATTTAATTGCACAACCATGAGGTAATATCAAACCTTTTATGGCCCTATTACACCTTATTGTCTTTGTTTTGCATAACGTATGCCCTCAAATGATGGCAATGGGAAATTGTGGAGGTGTTTTGGCGAGGCAGGGGTAAACCTCTTGAAGTAGCTAGAGTTCCTAATGGTATCTTTGTGTGTCCTTTTCTCCAACACCACAGTGAAGTCCTCCACACTCCAGATGGAGGACAGCTCATGCTAGACTGGGCTGACCAGCATGACAGCAGTCAATACCCTGACCCTGCCACTCAGCCCATTGTGCTACTGCTTCCTGGTATTACAGGCAACAGCCAGGAGACATACATCTTGCACCTAGTTGACCAAGCTTTGAGGGATGGTTATAGGTAAGGATGGGCCCAACCCAGAGGAGCAGGGTGGCATCTGAGAACTGGTGACGGGGAGGGGGTGCTGTGTGGAAGGCACCTGTGGGCTGGGCTTTCTGAAGGCTGGCAAAGGGGAGGGGCTCTCAGGGACAGCCTGGCTAAGATGTCCCTGTGTGCCACAGGGCTGTTGTGCTCAATAACCGGGGCTGCCATGGGGAACAACTGCTGGTGAGTACCCTCTTCCTCAGAACAGCTCTAAGATCTTGGCCCTGGGCCTCTACTTACCTATCCTCCCCTCTCCCTCTCATCTCTCTGCCTCTGGCCAGGGCTTCCCTTCTTACCCAATGACCTGGTTTGCCTCAGACCCACAGGACCTTCTGTGCCAGCAATACCGAAGACCTGGAGACAGTCGTGAACCACATAAAGCACCGCTACTCCCAAGCTCCACTGCTGGCCGTGGGCATCTCTCTTGGAGGGTAAAGGCCGCCTGGACTTAACCCAAACGGCCAGTCTCCCCATGTTTCTCTCCTCCTCTACATCTTCTCTATCTCAACTCACTAATGCAAACCCTTCTTTCTTGGTCACCGGTCCGTCCTGCAGGATATTAGTGCTGAACCACCTGGCGCGAATGGGGCAGGCTGCAGGGCTGGTGGCAGCGCTGACGCTATCTGCATGCTGGGATTCCTTTGAGACGACCAGCTCCCTGGAGACCCCGCTCAACTCATTGCTCTTTAACCAGCGCCTCACTGCTGAGCTCTGCCAAGTTGTGAACCGGTAGGGTCTTGGCTAGTGGGAGAGGGCAGCCAACAGGGTAGGATGGCAGGCATGCCAGGTCCTCCCAGTGCTTGGGTCAGTTCTGTATCTGGGCTTTCTCACTCATGAAATCAAAGAGGTTGGGGGCTCTGGGTCAGGTCCAGGGGGAGAGCCAAACCTGTGCTCTTTTGCAGAAATAGGAAGGTGATGGAAAAGGAGGTCAATGTAGACTTTGTGACACAGGTATGGTCTTTCAACCGTCTCCCCTCTCCCAACTACTCCTGCATTAGCTTCCTATTCTTATCCTTAACATGGCCCATCCCACCCTCCACCACCCACAGGCCCGCACAATCCGCCAATTTGATGAGCGCTACACTGCCGTGGCCTTTGGCTACAAAGACTGTACCACCTACTACCAGGCAGCAAGCCCAAGAACCAAAGTGGATGCCATCCAGACACCTGTGCTCTGCCTCAATGCAGCAGATGACCCCTTCTCCCCAGCCTGTGGTGAGCACCCCGAACCGTGATGCTTTGGCCCCAAGGACAATGGGCCATGTGGTGCAAGTGGAGAGCGCCTGGGTTCTCAGTCCTCCTCTCCAACCCCTCCTCCAGCCTTTCCGCTACAAGCTGCCCAGCAATCTCCCCATGTCGCGCTGCTCGTCACGGCCCAGGGCGGCCACATCGGCTTCCTGGAAGGCTTGCTCCCCTGGCAGCACTGCTACATGAGCCGCCTCTTCCATCAGTACGCCAAAGCCGTCTTCCAGCACGCCGCAGAGCTGCCGGGCTGCGGGGCGCTGGCAGCTTCTGCAGAAGGCGAGAGCTGACCACAGTGCCAGAGGGGTCTCAGTTCAGTCTTCCCTGTTTATTAAATATCAACGTTTCCTGTCGAACGGGCTGAGGCTCATTTTCCCTTTTCTCAAAGCTAGGGTAGACCATCTAGAAACTTATTGCATATTTAGCCTGGCCGGCTTAAGAGCTACCCAGCTGACCCCACAGATTTCTGCCAGGGTCTTCCTTTCGCTCCGTCCTTCCCGGGCAGGTGATCGTCCCAGCAAACACGAGGGGCTCCTGTGAAGAGCAACGGGCCACAGGTTGTGAGGGAGGAGAAACGGATTGTTTCCTCAGAAAGGACAGCAGTGACTCCAAATTCTGGGGCACCTTCACATATTTCTGGAGAAAGGATAAGCTCAACTCTGGAGCCCCTGGCTCCAGTCTGTCCTGAGTCAGGGTTCCCAGAACTCAGTCACACAGGGTCACAGTCAAGCTTTAACTGGGAAGGGCAGGCAGTTCCTGTCAAGTCTCCTCAGAGGCCACTTCTGCTGCGGACCCAGGTAGCGGTGGAGAACAGTGGTATCGGGGCCTCCACTCTGGTCCCGAAGGTGGCGGAGTCCCAGACCCCTGATTCCCTGGGAGCAGGAGACTAAAGAAAACCTGGGAAGGCACTCTGGAGCAGCAGGATGGTCATGACAATAAGCCCAACACAGATCAGCAGCAGGAGCCACACAGGAACACTCCCTGCAGGGGAGGATACGAGAAGAAATCAGTGGGCAGAGGGGCCTCACATGCCAAAAACAGAACCCTCATCTGACTCCATTCAGGAGGGGACAGATGGCTCTCAACGAGCAGCCCATTCTCCACGAGGCTGCTTTTTGCCACCGCGAGAGGCTGGGTGGAACCTGCCCACCCCAATGACTCACGCCGTGAGGGCAGCAGGTGCATCTGGCAACGACTATCCACAGCCACAGAGAAGAGGGCAGTTTCGTGGGACCCAAGGAGCTCTGGACCACGCCCCTTCTCGGGTAGAAAGGCCACATCCGTCACTACAATGCCATGGGCCTCCCTCACATAGTACAGGCGCTGGGGACAGGAGAACAAGGGAAGGAAGCCTCAGTGGGAAGCATGTCCCCTGCCCCCAGGAGGCGTTCCCTCTGTAGGCTGGGCCAGACTCCTCCCTGCACTCACGGAAAAAGCAGGCCTACAGTCCCCACCCTGAAGAGCCCTCAGGACTGTGCCCACCTCTGCCCATTACCTGGAGAGAAAAAGCAATGTAGATGGCAACAGATCCGGTGACTGTGCCCAGGCCTAGGAAGGTGCCCGAGTCACTGCAACAAACGACAGCACAGTCATTGTCCCGGAGACGTGCGCAGTGCCCCTCCGGCACTCACAGCCGTCCTCGGGGGCTCGAGCGAGCTCTGGTGGAGCCCCCCAGCCACCCGCACACCCAGCCGCGCCAGCACTCAGACCTCACAGTAAGGCAGGAAACGACTTCATGGCCACAGGGTCTGGTCCGAAGAGGCAAGAAGGTAGAGCCATCCCAGGCTGTGAGGTAGCAGGGTGGGGGCTGGCGCAGCCGCTTGTGGGGGATCTGCACTGTGAAGAGTCGTCGCCCCTTAGGCTGGTCTGGAACCTGCCCAAACCTGGGGGCCGGGGAGAAGCTGTTCAGCTCCCGGGGCCCGCCCAGCCCTCCTCCTCGAGTTTCGTACCCTCCTGCGCCCTGCTGAGGCCCGAGGGAATACTCCCCAAGGCCTCCAGCTTCCCCCAAATCTCTTCCCACTCCCCTGCCACACCCAGGTCGAGCCTTCCAGCCCCCCTCCAGGATCTTCACACCTGCAGGCCTGGTAGCGGTAAGGTGTGCTAGAAAAAGTGGGTCCGTTCTCTTGCCAGTGCAGCTGTGTCACCAGCTGATCCTTCTGCCACACGAAGGCCTTAAGGTCCCAGCCCACAGTCACCAACTGGTCAGGAATCAAGAGTTCAAGGAGGGACAGTTAGGAGAGCCACTGACGGAACAAGCAGCACAGCCACCTTTGCCCACCCTCTCGCCGCCTCACCTTGCCGTCAGGCCCCAAAGCCAGGTCCTCAATCTCCCCTTCATGGGCTTTGAACTCCAGCACTTTCTCCAGGCTGGGTACCTGCAGCCAAACCACCACCACGTTTATAACGCCCGGGTACCCCCGGCGATCCCCACCAGCTTCTCTTCTAAAGACGCAGACTCCGCTCACCGCTCCCCAGAACCCGTGTTCGCGTTCTCACAATTCCGGCCTCGCTGCTGGGCGCACACATCCTCCCCAGCCCCCTGAACCGCACCTTCCAGACGCGAACGTAGCCGTCGGTGCCTCCGGTGGCCAGCAGGGTGCTGTCGTGGTTGTAGCACACAACTTTCTGCAGCGGGTCGGCGCTGAAGTCTGTCTGCACCGCCTGCAGATTCTCTACTCTCAGTTCTACCCCCTCCTGGTGGGTTTCAGTTCCAGATTTCTTCTCTGGTGGGGCCGCCCCTTTCCTCTGCCGAGGCCCCTGCTCCTTGGTGCCTGCCAGACAAAGAGCCCCCCAGAGTCCAGGCTTCAGTGAGCAAGCCATACCAGCCCCATCTCCACCCAGCTCCCCGCCTGCCACCGTAACCGCCCCCCTCCCCTTCCAGCCCCTCTCCTCCAGAGAGCAAGATGAGGGCGATCCGGCTCATGTCACTCCTTTCCCAAAAGCTAGAGAGCCTGCTCCTCACCTGCCTTCTCAGGCTTGCTTTTGCCCTTCTGCTGGTGGGTCTGGAAGCGCAGGAGCTGACAGTGGGCATCCTGACCCGCAGCAAGGATGTTGCCAGCCAGCGCCAAGTTCATCGTAGCCCGCGTCTCCGTGTCATGGGAGTGTAGCAAGGAGGCGCTCAGGCGCCCGTTAATCTGCTCGAGCTGCAGAAAATGCTGTGGGAGAGGAGACCGGCATGGGGGAGGTTCAGGGGTGCCGTTTACCTCAAGGGCAAACTTTGCCTCCTGGGGTCTGAGACCCTGACCCTTTGCTGACCGAACTTCCCTAGTTCACAAGGCTTTCTCCAACCCTAGCCCGTTGTTTTTGTGTGTGTGGTGTGTTTTTTTGTGTGTTTGTTTTTTTGTTGTTTTTTTGGACCTCACAAATCTGTACAGCAGGCAGGGCTGGGATCATGACCTCCAGTTTAGTTTACAGAGCGATAGGGAGACGCCTAGAAGAGGGGAAACCTAGCCTAAGGGCCAACCGCAGCACTGTCGCCGCGGCGGAGCACAGGCAGGCAGTCTCGGGGCTCCCGGGCCAGCCAGGACAGGACCCCCCGAAGCTGCTCCTGGGGTACAGCGGAAGCGCGACTTTACTAGAGTCTCTCGATAGCCCTGGGCTTAAGTTCTCGGCTGAAATTCGGGTCGGATGCCCGGCTTGCCGGGGATTTCCGCTGGGCGGGGGCAGGATCCGAAGCTGGGGTGCGACCCGCCGGCCCCCCGAGACCCTCCCAGAGTCGCCCTCCGCCCACGGGGCCCCGGCCCGAGCGGCCTGCGCTCTCACCACTCCATTCTTTATGCCCGTCTTGGCGGCGCCGCCTCCGCCCGCGGCGATGAGCAGCCCGGTGCTGGGGTCCACCTGCAGCGCGTACAGCGGGAACGGGGCCCGGTAGAGCTCGGGCGCCCGGCGCCGACCCATCCCGCTCGCCGCTCGCCGCGCGCTTCACCGTCCGCACCGCGGCCTCCGCGACATGCCGCGCCCGGCCTTCCACTCTCCCCGCGCCGCTGCTGAACTTGGCTCGATCGCCGTCGCCGGGAGGACTCCCGGCCCCTCTCTCCCCGCGGGGATGCCCAGACGCTGTCCACACACACCCAGCTGCCGGCGTCTGCGCTCCGGGCCACCTACCCCGGCCCCGCTGACGCGCAGTGCGCACGCGCGCCCAGCCCGCGCCCCTCGCGCAGGCGCAGAGCCGCCGATCCGCGTCAGCAATAGCCTGCCGCGGGGGGAGGGGCGGCGGCCTCCGCCCCGCTGTGACGCCACGCCCGCCATGTTTGTGCGGGGCGGGAGCGGCGCGCAGGCCCCGCGGGAATGTCCTGCGTGGAGCGGAGCTAATAACAAAGGTGAAGGGAGGTTCGTGAACCAATTAATAAAGAAATCCTGGGATTAGGGCTGTCTGCCTTCCAGACCGACACGCAGACTCAAACAAGCGCAGCCTTTCCGTGTTACCCCAGAGAGGAAGTGGTTTGTCCCAAGTGCATACACTGGAAATGCGGCTTGTCCTGCCTTTTTTTTTTTAAAAAAAAAAATATATTTTATTGGTTTTTTACAGAGAGGAAGAGAGAGGGATAGTTAGAAACATCGATGAGAGAGAATCATCTATCAGCTGCCTCTTGCACACCCCCTACTGGGGATGTGCCTGCAACCAAGGTACATGCCCTTTGACCGGAATTGAACCCCGGACCTTTCAATCCGCAGGCCTACGCTCTATCCACTGAGCCAAACCGGTTTCGCTTGTCCTGCCTCTTAATGCAGGCAGTGAGAACCTGAAAACAAACCTGGCCTCAAAGCCCGAGTCCACCGCTTTCTAGCAGGAGGAAACGATTCACCTTAACACCTGTCCATGGTTGCAGCGGTGGGAGCTGGCCATTCTCGTGGCTCCCACCCTGCACCTGTGCCCTAGGGTTGTTGGGTGGGGGCTGCTCCCCTTTGACATCACAGAGACTGGCAACCCGACCCCCAGCAGGGCAGATCCAAGTTCCACCATCCTGAGGGGGCGCATGGGTTTCTCATCTCCAATGTGAGCATCCTGGTGGTTTTCTGCCAGTGAATGCTAAGAGTGCCCTTTCCTGCAAGGAGACTCCTCCGGTTGCTCCCTTGGCCACCGGCATGCATCCTTGAGCTAAGGTGCACCCAGGGGAAGGGACCCAGTGTCTTCCTCTTTGGGGGTGTCATTAATCTGTTTCACCAAATTTAATGTGGGAAAGGCCAGCGAGAGCCCCACCCACCTCAGGTGTTCAAACCTTTTGGGCCCCTTGCCCTTTTCAGGTACATGGCATCCACTCTCCCTGGCCACTCTGTTCCCTTTGACTCTCCCACACCCAGCGCTGGGTTCAGCCCCGCCCCCTGTGCCCGCATAGGTACCCACCGTGTCTGCTCAGCAGGACACACACACCAGATTTGCAGGGTTAAGCTTTACTGGATACACTGAAGGCTGAATGGGGCCCTTGGTTCCTCTTCAGCCGGGCGAAATCAGGCTCCACAAGGGACTTCCAGGGTTCAGGGCTGGAGCACACACCTGACCTCCAGCCAGCCAGCCCTTCAGGGTGTCCCGGTGGCTCCCCGAGACCTGGGGCCTGGGGGGAACGGCAGGGCTTAGAGAAGGTGCCCCAGGGAGCCTCCGCGGCTCTGGAAACAGGATGGTGACTTGCGGAGAGCAGGCTCTGGAGAGGCAGGCCTTGGAGCAGAGGAAAGCCCGGGCCTCGGGGAGCCCGCGGCCGGTCTGAGCGCCTGAAGCGGAGGAGGCCCTGAGCACGGAGTGGGATTTGGCGATTGAGGAGGGCCTGCACACCTGAGGCTCCCGGTCTGGGACGGTTTGCCTGAGGCTGACTCTGCCCAGGCCGGAGCTGCTGGGGCCGGAGCTGCCCGGGCCTGAAACACGTGGGTTGGATACCCAGGGGCCTGCGAGGCCTCGCCCTGAGGGCCTGCTTTCTCCGGTCTTCTTTCTGGCAACAGATGCAAAGCCCTGGCCTGGCGATGAGGCAGGCGGAGAGCAAAGCCGATGCCAATGCGCAGTGGTCTCAACTCCTGGTCTTGGCCACAGGGCAGCAGCTGGGGGAAGGCAAGCAGCCGGGGCCCAGTCCTGTACCTGGGGGTGGGGCAGGAGGGGCTGCGGGGCCGGAGGCACACGAAGCACATAGGGTACTCCACCACTGGAGGCTGGTCGGTTCTGCCGAGCCACAGGCTCTGCAGAATGAGTAGCCGGAGGTCGTGCGCGATGCGGCGGTAGCCCAGCTGAGCCACCAGGGCCTGGGCCAGGGCTTCCGGGTTCCGGAACTCTGCAACGTCCCTTTCGCTTGCCACGCATCCCTCCGTCGCCCCAGGAGGTCTGGGGTCCTGGCACTGAGGCCAGTGCCATGCCTGCCTATTGGGCTGGACCCCAGGAGAAGGTAGGCTGGGGCTCTGGGAAGTGAGCGTGGGGCTAGGCAGGTCTTCGGAGTGGGGAGGGGACTGGCAGGGTGGGAGAGAGGAGTTCTGTGGCTGAGAGGGACTGGAGGACTGAGCAGGGGGAGAGGAGAAGTACAGATGGTAGAAAGGAGAGGAGGAACGTGGAAGAGAGAGAGACGGGTAATGCTGATGAAAGAAAGCGGGGGAACTTGGGAGAGAGGAGGAGAAGGGCTGTGGGACTAAGTCAGAGCTGGAGTCAGAAGAGGAGGAACTGGAGGTAGGAGACTGGGGCTGTGGAGGAGGGGAGCAAGGAGGAAGGGAGGGAGGGAGCGGTTTCTGGGGAGGCAAAGGCTGGAGGGTCTGAGGACAGGAGTCCACAAGTTGTGAGGGGCCCTGAGGCCCTGCTTTCTGTAGCAGCCCTTGGTCCTTGTTTGGAGGCAACATCGCCTTGAAACCCACAAGGACTGAGGCGGCAAGACCAGAGATTAGCGACCTGGCGGCCAGGACCCGTATCTCTGGTTGCAGCGCAGGAGACACCCGGCCCAGGAGCACCAGGCTCTCTGGTGTTCAGGCAGGAGCTGGGATCTAAGCTTGGCTTCTCTCTTCTTTGCCGTTGGCCATTGAGGAGGGATGTATAGGGATGGAGAATCCGAGCTGCCTCTGGGGAGCCTCGGGCTGGTAGCAATTATCTGAATGGGCCAGGAAGGAAGGCACAGCCCATAGGACCTGTAGAGAAAGAAACAGAGCCCACGATATTGAGAGAATCGGTCCATTTCCGGCTCTGTCTCGGGCCAGTTCCAGGCTGGGTCACTAAGACCCTAAACACGTGTCACCTTTAGGGGCAGAAGAGCTGGCAAAATGGAGGAGAGAAAGAGGGAGGGAGGGAGAGAGAGTAGGGTGGAGTCGGAGAAGAGGGTATGGGGGCTGAGATGCGGCTAGGAACTGAGGGTGATCTGGTGGTGTAAGCTCTTACCCATGAGGGTTCCTCTGGGCTGTTTTACAAGGTGCTTCAGAAATGAGGGGACCTGGGAGGAAAAGCAACAGTCACCAAAGGGTGGATCCACCCCCTCTCCATCTCCCCCAGCGTCCTTTCCCCTAAACTCACTCTGACCCGGATTTCTGTCTGAGCCTGGTCTAGTCCTCTCAGGCAGCAAGGGATCTTCTGTCACAGGCTTTTGTTCTCCTAGACCCGAATCAGGGATTCCGCAAGCATCCTGGTTTCCCGGCACTCTGGTTCCCCTGACGCCTTGCTGCCCCTAATGCGGATGTCCTCTGGCTCAGCCTGGCCCTAGTCGGTATGGCTTCTCACACCCAGCAGCAGCCGGAGCATGGGGCTAGCTGGTGAAAGCCTCTGAGAGACGGGGACTTTGCCTAAGGGGTGGCACTGCCACCCCCCGTGGGAGCTAGAAGTCCCATTGGGAGCAGTTCTCCGTGACCTCTACTGCCTGTGTCACAAAGGTCAGGTATGACATCATAGGTTCTCTGCCTCTAGGCTCTGGGGCCTTCTCTCAGAGACCATCCACAGGCTGGCCTTTGACAAAAGTGAAGCCAGCCGAGACCGGTTTGGCTCAATGGATAGAGCGTCAGCTTGGGGACTGAAGGGTCCCGGGTTCGATTCCGGTCAAGGACATGTACCTTGGTTGCGGGCACATCCCCAGTAGGGGGTATGCAAGAGGCAGCTGATGGATGACTCTCTCTCATCGATGTTTCTAACTCTCTATCTCTCTCCCTTCCTCTCTGTACAAAATCAATAAAAAAATGTTTAAAAAAAAAAAAAAGTGAAGCCAGCACAATTCTCTGGGGCACTCATCTCCTTTTCAGGCCCCCTTTACCACCTCTGCTCTCTGCCCATATACCATTTCCCCCACTAAGGGTTCCTGTAAACCACACCGCCTATTTGGGCTGGGTCCTCCTGTCAACTTCTTATTTTCCCTTGCTTTCTGAGCAGGGGTCATGCTCCACACCTGCTTTGGGAAATCTTATATAATAAAAGGCTAATATGCAAATTGACCGAATGGCAGAACGACTGGTTGCTATGATGCACACTGACCAGCAGGGAGCGGATGCTTAATGCAGGAGCTGCCCCTAGTGGTCAGAGTGCTGCTCAGCCAGAAGCGGGACTCATGGCTGGCAATGTCAGCGGCTTTGGCGGGAACCTCTCCTGCCTCTGAGGCAGTGCTAAAGATATCCAACTACTGGCTTAGGCCCATACGGAGTAGGCTTAAGCCGTCAGTCAGACATCCCCCGAGGGCTCCCAGACTGTGAGAAGGTGCAGGCACCCCCAAGTGTACAAATTGTGTGCACCAGGCCTCTAGTGTTTATATATTTTAATAATTCTTTTCTTAACAGCTTTACTGAGATATAATTCATATACCATACAACCCACCCATTTAAAGTGTGCAATTCACTGTTTTCCAGTATGCTCACATGATTGTGCAGCCATCAACACAATCTAATTTTAGAAAATTTTTATTAACCCCTGTCTCCATAAGACCATCCCCATTAGCAGTCACTCTTCCTTTCTCCCTTCCCCTAGGCCCTGGAAACAATAAATCTCTCTCTCTCTCTCTCCCTCTCTCTCTCTCTCTCTCTCTCTCTCTCTCTCTCTCTCTCTTTCTTTCTCATTTCCTCTCTGAAATCAATAAAAATATATATATTTTTAAATCTCTCTTTAAAAAAATGTTTGTATTGATTTTAGAGAATATGCTCTAAGGCAAAAAAGAAAAAAGAAAAAGAAAAGAAAAAAAGAAATAAGAAATATAAAGATTGGAAAGGAAGAGATAAAATTGCCATTATTTTATCTACTTAGAAAAACCAATGGAACCAACAGGATATTAAGACTAATAAAAGTTCAACAAGATTGCAGGATTCAAGATAAGCTTTTAAAAATTTGCCAAAACCTGTTTGGCTCAGTGGTTAGAGCATCAGCCTGCGGACTGAAAATTTCCGGTCAAAGGCATGTACATTGGTTGCGGGCACATCCCTGATGGGGGGTGTGCAGGAGGCAGCTGGTCAGTGTTTCTTTCTCATCGATGTTTCTAGTTCTCTATCCCTCTCCCTTCCTCTCTGTAAAAAAATCAATAAAAATATATATATTTTAAAAAAGAATCTTAACTATTAAAAAAAAGAGTCTATTTTCTTATAAGGTTGAAAGAAAGATAATACACTTATTAAAGTGCTTAGCATGCGGCCTGGCAATGATCTAAGGACTTTGAACTGTTAGGACGCCAGCCAGGGTGTGGTCAAACATAAACTTGACCCGGTGAAACAGCGAGGCATGGGCTCTGGGTCCTGGGACCTTCCCAAATGAAGGCACCACCTGGCAGGGGGGGAGAGGGTACTCCAGGGGGTGTAGAGGTACAAGGAAAAGTGCTGGGCTGAAGACCTGAGGAATGCTGGGGGCTGGGGAGCAGAGCTCTGTGGCTGGAAGGTCATGGTCACTGACGAGGGGCGTAAAAGTCCTTCTAAGGATGTGCGTAGAGAAGGAGGCCCAGGGCCCTTCCATGAACTTGAACCCCAAAGCTGAAGTCGCGGGTCTATCATAGGACTGCCGTCAGGATCAGGCAAGGCTCCTGGAAGGAAGCTCCCTCCCCACCATCCTCCTGCCTCCTTCAGCCAGGGCCTCCTCCCAGGGCTGGGTCACTCCCAGCGAGCTGCACCCCCACCCTCCGCTGGCTGGGAGGCAGGCAGGAGGGTTTTCGCGGGGGCTGTGCCGGCCCCTGGGCGGTTTTCCCAGAGCAAGAAGCGAGGCAGGACTGCGTTGGCGCCAGCTCCCTCAGATATAGACGTCGCTGGACAGATGACCAGCCTGCCCAGCTAGCTGGAGCCCGGGGACCCCCTCGGGCACTGTGTTCCTGTCCTGGGGGCTGTGACACCACATCCCGAGGGCGTGGCATGTCACAGAGAAAGGCCAGAGGGGCAGCGGCCATGCCGGGAGCAGGGCAGAGCCCGGCGAAGGCCAGGTCCAGGCTGCGCACGGGCACCCCCAGCAGGAGGAGCCGCCTGAGCAGGACCAGGCAGGACCCGTGGGAAGGGACCGGCTGGAGCAACCAGAGGTGGAGCAGGGCTGCCCCCGGCCCGGGCCCCCCTCGTGTCAGGGTAAGGACATACGGCCCTGCAGAGGGAGCTGGGGAGGCAGGGGTTGAAGGGGTTGAGGGAGGTCACCTCCGATGGCAGAGCGTCGTTCGGTGTTACCATTCCCTCCCTGCATAGCGGAGCCTGGCCCCTTTGATGCTGAGGCTCCATGCTTTGTGGTTGGGAGAAGCTGAGCGTGTGGCTAAGAGACCCGGCCCCACTCACGTCTCTCCAGGACACGAAGCCGGAGGAGGGATGTGAATTTCCCACGGCCCCGGGCGGCCGCAGGGCCAGGACTTCAGTCTGTGATTCAAGCCCAGTCTGGTGGCATTTCCTCGTTACCACAGCTGCCCCTCTCAAGACCTGGCTGGGCCAAGGGTCATCTCTACCTAGCAGATCCTGGCTCTGTGCTCCCTATGGCCCAGGGCACCCGAACAACGGGATTCAGACCTGGGTGAGGGTGGAAGGAGGGCTAGGACGAGGCACCGGGAGAAGTAGAGAAAGAACAGGATCTCAGGTTCTGAGCCAAGCTTTGCCCTCCGGTTCCATCGGGCCCCAGGCGAGGCCTTCTCTCCATTCCTCGGCTGTTAGGCAGGGCCGGGCCAAGAATGGACAAATTGACAGATGACCTCACACTAGAATGCTCTGAGAAGCCGGGGACTGGGGGTGGGGGTGAGGGTGAGGGGGTCCGGTCAGCCTCACTCCCCTGGTCCTCTGTGCAGAGTGAGGTCAGTCCTGAGAACGCCGCGCGGGAGCGGAGCCGGGTGAGGACGCTGCGCCAGGCCTTCCTGGCCCTGCAGGCCGCTCTGCCTGCCGTGCCCGCGGGCACCAAGCTCTCCAAGTTGGATGTGCTGGTGCTGGCCACCAGCTACATAGCCCACCTCACCCGCACGCTGGGCCACGAGTTGCCCGGCCCCGCCTGGCCACCCTTCCTGCGTGGGCTCTGCTTCCTGCACCCTCTCAAGGTAGGCCACGGGGCCAGGGCCTCGGGGAAGGGGGCTTGGGGGAGAGGGATATTGGTCTCGGGTCCCCAGCCTGCAGTGGGGAGTGGTGATTGGAAATGACTTTATGCGAATGTGATTCCTCTGAGAGCAGGGACATGCATGGAGGCCCCAAGACTAGGGGGTGCCCAGTGACAGGGGAGAAAAAGGAGCAGGTTCTGGCTGGTGCCTGGGAAAGGAAACTGCCCCTCGGGGAGTCCTGGATGTGGGGGACATCATCCCCTGTACCAGGCCTCAGTGACCTCGGGACTTCTGTGGCAGGAGAGATCCCCTCTGGGAGAGCAATAGTCTTAAGAAAACGTCACTCTAGAAGCCACCAAGCTGGGGCACCACCTACCAGACTGCAATCCACCTGTCCCGAATCTTGCTTATATTATACTACAGGCTCAGTACACAGCTTCCTGCACAGGTGGGGTCCCTCGACTTGGCCTGCAGGGATCGGGCTGAACCTGGCTCTCTGACATCCCCCAAGGGGGTCTCGGATTGTGAGAGGGCGGTTCTCGGGTGATGTACCCCAGAATCAGGCTCTCTCTTCTCTGGTTCCAGGTGCCTCACCAGAGAACCACAGCTGCCAAGTCACTGCAGCTCAGCAGCTCCTGCGTTGAGCATCTGCCCCCTGGTGGTCAGTGCACACCATAGCTACCAGCTGGCCAGTCACATAGGCTTTTATATAGATAGATGTGGGAGGAAAGATAACATGAGCCTTACTTTTCTTCCAGGGTATGAAATGAGATTATTCATAAAAAGTATAATTAGCAGTAAATCACCATGTCAATACCAGCTAACGGTATTTGGATGCTAAAGTTTTGCCGGGAGCTGGGCTAAGTGCTTTAGTGCATTTTTAAAAAATATATATATTTTATTGATTTTTTTAGAGAGGAAGGGAGAGAGATAGAGAGATAGAAATGTCGATGAGAGAGGAACATCGACCAGCTGCCTCTTGCACACCCCCTACTGGGGTTGTGCCCGCAACCAATGTACATGCCCTTGACTGGAATTGAACCCGGGACCTTTCAGTCCACAGACCGACGCTCTACCTCTGAGCCAAACCGGTTTTGGCGCTTTAGTGCATTTTTATCTCTTAATCCATGCAAGAACCAAAGCAGGGCTATTTTACAGACGAGGAAGCCGAAGCTCAGGGAGATTCCGTGACTAAATGTTTGAACCCAAGAGTGTCTGCCTTTGGACCCCCTCCCTTGCTCGCAGCCACCACGCAGGCCCAGGAGATGGCGTGTGAATTGCTGGTTGTAGATTATGACTGTGTTACAAAGGAAGAGACATTCTACCCCTGAGGGTAACATTGTAATGGGGTCAGCTTTGTTTTTATTTATTTTTTAAAATATATTTTATTGATTTTTAACAGAGAGGGATAGAGAGTTAGAAACATCGATGAGAGAGAATCATCGATCAGCTGCCTCCTGCACACCCCCTACTGGGGATGTGCCCGCAACCAAGGCACATGCCCTTGTCTGGAATCGAACCTGTGACCCTTCAGTCCGCAGGCCGATGCTCTATCCACTGAGCCAAACCGATTTCGACTCAGCTTTATTTTCAGGGAGGCTACTTTCACCATCTGTCACCCCTAAACACCATAGTTCTGAAATGTCTTGAAACTGGAGATTTTCCTTTCTTTCATGCGAATGTAGCCAAAATGCAAGTACCTGAGACTAAATGGGGGCAACTCTGAAGTAGTGACGGTGACGGCACCTGGGGTATGTGGATGTTCCCTTAGCTGTGCAATGGTGGTCAAAGTAAGGCCATAGCGTGGAGGAAGCAATGGGTGAATGACTGAGTGAACCAATGAGAGCCGGGCAAGGTCTGGAGCTCTGACAGTGGAGCTGGTTAGCTTGGAGCAGTGCCCCTCCCCCAGCCCCCAGGTCGAGAGGTTGCCAAGGGGAGGGCAGACCTCGGGGAAAATCAACCTGGGACTTCCTAGGACTGCCCACACTCCTGCTGGAAGGCGGGACCATCTTGGGAGGTCCCCAGTCATAGGGTGTGGGCAGCGCTGACATCTGGGTCAGAGGCACTTGGTGGGAGGCTGTGCAAGAGAAGGGGTCAGGACTGATCCGTGCCAGGAGTCTTTTCTCGCCGTCCCCCCACCCCTCTCCCAGCTCTTACTGTGGGGGGGAGGGCTCCTCTTGGGACCCTTGCTCCTGAGCCGGCCCCTCAAATGCCAGGCTCAGGTGGTCAGGAGAATGCATGGGGCCAGGAATGGTAGTGAGCTGGAGACTACTGTCATCAGAGCAGTCACGACAGGGAAGAGTCTCAAGAAGGAGGCCAGGAAAGGTGGACTCAGGGTGCCAAGAACTACGAGGGGCTGCAGCAGTGAGCATTACTCACTACCCACTTTCCATCTCTGTGTCTTGCAGAAGTGGCCAATGAGATCTCGTCTCTATGCCGGAGGCCTGGGGTGCTCTGGCCCTGACTCCACCACAGCCACCTCCCTGGGCCAAAGAACGAAGGAGGCAGAGGCCAAGCCCCAAGTCCCTGGAGAGGCAGATGCTCTCCTCCCTACCAGTTCTTGGTGATAAAGGACCATCACACTCACCTTCACTCCTGGACTGTGACTCGAGCTCAGGCACCTGGTTTATTCTCTCCCGGGCCCTGCCTGTCTTCACGTGGACTCTTACCCATCGGATCTGACTCAGCCCCAGGTCAGACAAAGCCGCAGGCACATCAGTGATGGAGCGCTCAGGGGCACCGGAGAGCCAATCCTCATCTTGGCTCCAGGAGGAACTCCCAGTGGCTCTTCCGTGGCAGCTACAAGGGAAACGGGAGAGGAAGGGGTTTGATTGGGTTGGAGGCTGAGTTATGGCACTACTCCTTGTTTCTTCCCCCCCACCCCCCAAAGTTTCTACAAACCCTCTGGAGATTGCAAGCAGAGGCAGGGGCCTAGGATGGCAGCAGCCGCAGGGGCTGATGGGACCAGACAGGCTCTTGGCCACTGTGCGTGTGAACGGAGCTGGGCTGGGGTCGCATAAGCAGAGGGGAAACTGAAGAAGGAAATGTTTTGCTATTTCACCACGACGTACACGGATGTCAAAGAGGCAGGAAGGCATTTAGGAGGCCTGTCTCTGCGTTGTGGGCTCTCCAGCTGCCCCTCCTCACCACATGGTCTCCCTGGCGGGGCCCTGCACCCATCCATTCTTCCCTTGATGTGATTCCTATTTACAGGTGAAGCCATGAAGCTCACCTGGCTTTTACATCCCAGTGTCCAGGGACACGTTCAGTCCCCACTGCTTCGTCTGAGAGGACCTTCCCCCAGAGGCAGCACCACCTTAACTGACCCCACAGCATCTCAAGGCCTTGGGTAGGAAGAATGCTGATTGGCTCAGTTACATCCTTGAAGGACCTTAGAAGAAGAATGTGCATCCCTTCCAGGGGATGGTAATTGCAGTCTTCTCTTTCCATTATGCTAGGAATCTAACCTCCAGGAAAAACAAGGCCCGGGCCCAGGGGGATTCTTGTACGGTTTTGGCCTGAGGACTCACTGGCTCTAAAATTACTTCTCCTGTCTGTCCACAAATGACCTCTCGAGGGTCCAGTCCTCCCCACAGACCCTGCCCTCCCAGGCTCTCCCTACGTCCTGCCCTGGGGAGCCAGACGTGTAAGATGGAGTTCTAGTGGAATTTACCTCTGGTCCTGAAGAGATAATACGAGGACCAATCACAGAGTTTGCACACACTGGGAGGAATCTTCCAGATCAGGTAGAGCTTCAGGAGCCTGAAGTCCAGACAGAGAAAGAATCACCTTTTTTGTGGAGTGGGAGGGGATGGGTCAGGACGGCTAGAATCCCAAGAGGGTAGCCTTAGACAGAGCCACCATTGCCGCCACGAGAGTCAGTGAGGTTTGGGGGTGGCTGGCAATGGGTGGGGGTCACCGGTGTGATGAGGTGCCGTTCTTCCTCAGGGTTGGCCTGGGGAACAGGAGGAAGGGGACTGGAGGGGTGACTCAGCACGTTGGGGTGGAGGCAGGAAAGGAGACACAGAACGTCCTAGTCACGCCGCCTGGGGTGTGGGAGAGCAGCTGGACTGTGGCTGGGAGCCATGGGAGAGGGCCTCGGCCAAGGCTGACCTCATAAATCTACCGAGTCTCTGCCGAGGGCCTGGAGAGCTTGTGCAGAGCGGCTCTGGGCGGCCGGATGGGGCCGACAGGGCCGGAGACCAGGTGTGGGTGGGCACGAAGGCAGTGTTCTTCACAGACCATAAAAGTCCAGCTCCAGGGTTCTGTTCTTAAAACCCATGGGCGGTATCTTCCCGGCTGAGTTCGATAGGAAGAGGAGCAGATGCATTTCCTCCCGAGCTGGTGACACACAGGCTTCTCCCAGGAATGGGACTGGGAAAGCGGGCTCTGAGTGGCAATGGAGAGCCCCCGCCTCACCCCTGATCCTGTATGTGACAGCTCCACCCCCAAAGTACCAGGTTTCTCCTGCTAACTGAGGAAACTGGTTTAGAGCTGGTCCCATCCCACCCAGGTCAGACTCCATCCTGTGCCCTGGGCGGGTGGGGGGCGCCCACGTCACCCTGGTAGAGAAGACAGGGGGGCGAAAGAGAGAGGGGAAGCGGTGGAGGGCTGAGGAAGGGCAGGTGCCATATTACAGGGGTCTAAGGCTGCCTCAGGCTTTTCCCAGGCAAAGCTGTCTCCAATGTGGAAAACAAATATTTTTCATAAGTGTCACCTATGTTCACACAGAGTGGACTGATGAATGTCATTTTAAAATAAATATTCTTTAAAAGTCTCTGTTTTAATTTCTAATATGGTGACTGCCAATAGAAACAACTCCCAAAAGTAAAAGCTCTTCAGCATCTTTTAAAGAACAGCAAGAGTCTGAAGCTTGTGTGGTTCAGTGGATAGAGCGTCGGTCTTCGGACTGGAAGGTCCCAGGTTTGATTCCGGTCAAGGGCATGTAATGTTTTTCTCTCATCGATGTTTCTAGCTCTCTATCCCTCTCCCTTCCTCTCTGTAAAAAAAAAATCAATAAAATATATTTTAAATTTTTTCTTAGTAATTGATTGATCATGCAGGCAAAAAAATCAATTAAAAAAAATAAGTTTCTCGGGGTTTTGTACGTAGCAGAGCAGCTCCCTCACTGCGATCTATTGAAAGTCAGCCCTCGACACAAGGGTTTGAAAATAAAAAGAAAAAAAAGAAAAAAAATAGTATAAAAGAAATAAATAAAAAAAAGAAAGAAAGAAAGAAAGAAAAAAATATATAAGTTTCATACAAAATAAATAACAGCCTTAATATTTTTTTAAAAAAAAAATATATATATATGTGTGTGTGTGTGTGTGTATATATATATATATATATATATACACACACACACACACACACACACTTCAGGGGAACAGAACCTCCGGGTTGGGTCCAAATTGGATGGAAATAGATTCTCGACCACACATCCCAGAAACCACAGCTCACTGCACGAGGCTCTGGTGAAAATACAGGTGCTCTCACTCTCTCCGGATGAGAACTTGGAGTAGGGCTTGGAGAGGGAGCGGCCATAACTGATGCATCCATGACGGGTGAATATAAATCTGCCACGATCTGACCTGCTCTCAGAAGAAGCGCAGTGGCATGAACCAGCATTTGCAGCAAAGCCCAGCCATGACTGCTGGCGTGTGGGCATGTGCCAGGCTTGCTGGGAAGGGCTGCATTTCATTACAAGAAGCCATTGGCCCCAGCACTGGGAGAGCCGCCAGTGTGGGGTGTGCCAACCAGCAAGTTCCTCTTCCTCCTCACGCCAAGGCGGGCTGACTGTGCGTGGCAAACACGGTGGAAATACTCCACCAATTGGCCAGGCAAGTGAGGACTCCTTTCGACCAACCTCACCAAGTGCCCACTGGCAACAACGGGCCGCCACCACCACTGTTTCCTTGGACGTGAGGGCAGACCGGGACCGACCGGTTTTGCTTTTGGAAGGTTGACATAAAAATATACTATTGACCCAGACAGTTGGGCCCCTCATACATTACTATTAATTGAATACCTACTTGTGCCTTGAAAAAGTGGAACTCTTCATGGGGGAAATGGTATTATTAAAAATGTAGGAAATTCTAGGCTGTATTTTGATAACTACAGGACCCAGGGTTAACGGATTCTCACGGAGTTCCTGATATGAGCTCTGGGGGAAAGGAGGTTTAAGAGACTTCTTTGCTCTTTTGAAAGGCAGTGTCACGTTGTAGATAAGATCTTGATATTGCAAATCCTACCGAGAAACCAGCTGTTACAAACGCGAGCAGTGAGGTGATGGGGTGTGCTATGAATGACATGCTTACCTGAGACCGAGAACAGAAAGGGAATGGTGACATGCACATTAAGAGAAGCCAGAGCTGTTGGCAGCCTCCCGGAAACAGTGAAAACCCTAAGTTGTTCATTATATGCTGGTCCTCCTCCTCCAGCCCCATTCAGAAGGAGAAAGGCGGTCTTTCCAGCTTAAAAAGACACAGAGACTGGTGTCTTAAAAAGACAGAACTTGCTCCAAGTTCGCATAAGGATCCTTAACGAGCAATCAGCAGGGACCTGAGGCTATTTGATGGGAGGATACTTTTCTTTCAAGCGTTGTAATGAATGTCTTCGCACAAGGCGAGGCCTGGAATTGTCCAAAAGCCGCCCACAGACTAAGCTGACAGAGCGACTATATGGACATCACCCCTCTCGCTTGGGCAGGATCCTCTCCATTTAAATGTAGCGCATTTTCCCAATCAGGGAAACCACCTCATTGAAACCCTCCTGGATCTCCATGAACTGCAAAATCCTGGGAGAAGATGGCTCTGACCTTGATGGAGGGTATCAGTGGGTTGATCAGTGCTCCCATAGCACTGATCTTTCTTTCCTTCCACCCTAATGTGGTCCTGGGGCATCGTCTCGTTAGTTAGTGCAATCATTACCATTCTTACAGAACTTTCACTCAGGTGTGCTCACTTATGGCAACTACACAAGTTGCAGAAGGAATTTCTCCAGGACATTCTAAACAGACATGAAGAAATAGAGCAGGAAAGAGAAAACATGGGTTTGTAAAACATCGAACCAACTGCTGAAAAAATGTCCCTGCATGAGTGACATATTTTCTACAAAAAATGATCAGACTTCCATTTCCGACAATATGGTGGACGGGAAATCCTCTTGGTACAGAACACTCAAGAGGATGGCTAAAGCTCTAGCCAATTTGGCTCAGTGGGTAAAGCACATGTGTCAAACACAAGGCCCGCGGGCCAAATCCGTCCCACCAGGCCTTGCAATGTGGCCTGCACCGCACTGTCATCACTGCACTCCGCTGCGTTTCCATCACAATGACAGTTTATGACTGTTCAGTAAACCATTCGGCCCGCGATTTAGGCTGGATTTTAGATTTTGGCCCCTTCTCTGATTGAGTTCGACACCCCTAGGGTAAAGCGTCGACCCACAGACTAAAGGGTCAGGGGTTTGATTCCGGTCAAGGGCATGCAGGTGTGTGTAGGAGGCAACCAATCGATGGGTCTCTCTCACATTGATGTTTCTCTCTCCCCCTGTCTCCTCCCCCCACCCCACCTCCACTCTCTCTTTTTTTTAAAAAAAAAACCAATGGAAAAAAATATCCTCGGGTGAGGATTAACAACAACAAACTATTAAAAGAATATTTTAAGTGCATGGTTGGGCTAGTAGAAAGATAAAGGAAAGCAATAACAGGAGGAATTTAAAAAAGCATAAAACCAAAAATGGTAAGCCGGCACTGAGGCCAGTGCTGCCTTGGCAGTATCTGCAGATTCTTCTGCCCAAGGCCAGGGCTTTCACAGACCAAATCTGGGGCCTAGAGACAGAGCCCAAGGCCCACACCAAACAGGACACTGAGTCAGAGACCCTGACATGAAGCAGGGATCCCCCAAAGGCAACACCCTCGGTATATAAGACAGAGATAGGGATGCTTGTCCAAACAAGTCTTGGCTCAGGATGGGAGTGGGAGAACTCCGATTACTAAGACAGCAAACTTTTTTGGGGGCCTGGAAAGCAAAAGTTGCAATCGGTCTCGATTTAGGAGTGTCTCCAGGTGTGACCAGGTACAATTCTTCTCTGGGAGAACATGCTTTAAATCCAGGCATTGAAGGATTCCCATAGGTAACATTTTAACGAACTTTCAAATTCATCACAAACAATTCTGAAAATCAGAAGGAAGCATGCCACCATTTGAAAGTTAACAAACTTTCAAATTTATCGCAACCAATTCTGAAAATCAGAAGGAAGCAGGAACATTGAACTGTAAATTCACACCTGCAGCGACAGCAGATATTGTAATCTTTAGGTACAAAATACACATGACATATGTTGAGAACATTTAAAGAAATAAAAAAAAGTAATTTGAAAAGACAATGCAGGAACAAGGGCTATCAAACATAACCAGGCAAAATTGGAGAGAAAAAAAAATACAATTTCTAGAAATTAAAAATATAGCATTTTCATAAGGAACCCAGTGGGCGGTTAGAAACTACTAAAAACAGAAGGAGAAAATCAGAAAATAGATCTGAAGAAATTATTCAGACAGCAGTACATATGAACAAAGAGATAGAAAAGAATATAATGTAGGAGGATATCTTCCTGTCCCTGGAATAAGGGGATATTTCTAAAAGAAGGCACAAATAGGACTAACCCTAAAGGAAAAGGCTGATAAATTGTACTGCCTGTAATCAGGAACATCTGCCCCGCGGGTGTGGCTTCGCTGTTTGGAGCATCATCCTGTACGCCTAACGGCTGCAGATTCTATTTCTGGTCAGGACACATACCTAGGTTGCGGGTTTGATTCCCATTCAGGCGCATGTGGGAAGGCAACCAATCGATGTTTCTTTCTCACATCAATGTTTCTCTCTCTCTCCCCCCCACACTTTAAAAATATATTTTATTGATTTTTTTTTACAGAGAGGGATCGAGAATTAGAAACATCCATGGGAGAGAAACATCAATCAGCTGCCTCCTGCACGCCCCCTACTGGGGATGTGCCCGC